AAAAATGTACGGTAATGTAAACCAGAAATCAGGAAAAATTGAGAAAAAAGTAGGAAAAACGCGGAAATCTAAAGAAAACTAACAAAAAACCGGTGCAAAATCGATAAATAACAAATATTTTTCTATGCGTAATTTTGCTGCGTACGTTTGATCTTCAGGCAAAAAATCAGGAAAAACATTTTTTGAACCCCCACCCACCTTATGAAAGATGGTGGGTGGGGATGTATTCCAACATTTATGCCAGGGGTGTTATATTGGAATGTTTCGGGGGGCTATACTGGAATATACCCCAAAAATCAATCAACGGATAAAATATTAACGATATTATGATGAACAATTCATCAATTGACAAGTTTTCGATATCTTTTAAAGAAACCGAAATAATTGAGCTCAAATTAAACGTATAGAGTGACCTCCTATTAGAGAAAATACGGTAAGTTCGATGTCCCTTGTTTATTGATCTAGTGGAAAAGTTGAAAATTGTGAGGTGTTCGTGTACTGTCACATGGGGTATCTTCAAAATTGAATTGATTGGATTATCTGATTTTTAAACTAAACGGACACATTCTATGTGCTATTTCAGACACTCATGTTACTGTAAAATCTCTAATAGAACGCCACTCGATTCTCGGAATTTTAGCTAAATTATCTCAACTTCTGTAAGAGATATACAAAATCTGCAAATTATGAAAGTGTTGTTGATATTGTGAAAAACGTTTTATCAGTTGAACCATTTTTGATGTCTTTTGGAGGAATCGAGATAAATGAGCTCAACGTGCAAGTATAGCGTGGTGTTCTATTAGGTCAATCACAGTAAGTTAAATTGAGCTCTTTTGTAAAAGGTTTAGTCTATCTAGACAAGAATCCAGCTTTTATACTTAAGGCGCTAGATTCTGAAGCGCCCAGTTTTTATTTGGGCAATTCTGACTGCATGACTGGGAAATGCTCAACTCCACACATCCCTCTTCAGTGCCTAATGAATGGAACTCAAAACGAACCAAATTTCAGTATGCAAAAAAATTCATTCAGTAAAATTTAGTTGAGAGTCCAGTTTCCTTGGTAATAGGAGTCGATGTCGTTTCCGGTGAAATCCAGAATCCATTTCTTTGTTTGCAAATTACAAGTGAATGTAACATCTTGCCGAGGAGCAGACGGGTATTTATCTGTGTTCTTGCCGCCTTCGCAATCGAATGCAGTGTGAGCAACACATTTCTTAGAAACTGACTCCTTCACGGTAATATACGCCCCTTGAAAATTCATAGCACCTTGATAACCGCTTGCCATTGGTTTACAAAAATAAAAGGGAGGGGTTTGAGTGGCTTGATTTGCAGCATAAAACATCACAGTTGCAGTGCACGCTTCATTATCGATAGCCATTGTCTGAACATAACCCTTGTTTCCAGGAAGACTTGTACCTTCGCAATCACTATCTGCTAACCCGGCTGCTGCCGGACAGGGTTTTCTGGGCCTTCGCGGGCCCTGCCATATCTTTTTTCAGAATCAATATTTTCTAACCAACTAAATCAGATATGATAGAACTCGACGAGTACTACAAAATGATTTTATTTAAACAATTGTATCTTGTCTATGAACAAAGTTACAGCTCACAAAGTGGCTTTGCCCGGACGTGCCGACCCAGTCCGGGCCGGGCCTGCTCTTCTCGTTCTTTTCGTCTGTAACTTTGTTCATGGACAAGATACAATACTTCAAATAAATGTATTTTGTAGTACTCGTCAAGTTCTATCATACCTGATTCAGTTGGTTAAAATTATTAATTCTGAAAAAAGATATGGCAGGGTCCGCGAAGGCCCGGATTACAAGTATGCTTACAGTAACCGAGTAACACGGTGCAACTCTATTAGAGTTCCCGTAGTAAGAAATAGTCAGCAATAGTTTTCGAAATTTCATTCAAATGTGTGATCCGAAAAGGAAACCAAACAGAACTTATGATAATGACACCGCCCCAAACATTTAGTCAATTTTTTAGATATTTTCTAAAAAATTGTAGTCATTTGGGTATTTGGGTACTGGCTATAATCTTTTGGGCGCTTTCTTTTAGTCTTAATGACGGTGATTGTTTTCATGCTCACGACCATCCAAATCAAGTTTTTCAAGAAAATGGATTCTGTGTTTTAGAATGTGGAAATCTTCAGAAGCTAGTCATAAGGCCCCTTCGGAGGGGAGAAATCTTCGAGCGATTAATCGAGATAAATCTCCTCATACACGATCAATTATCCGTTTTATTGACTTCCGTTAATATACCCTTACCTAATCGTTTAACCCTATTTCCCTCAAGAAAAGCTGCTAAAATCCACAACTCGTGATTTTTCTTATTTATGCCTAGGTACCCCCAAACCCCTATAAAAGACCCTAATGACTAGAGTTTATATGTACCTTCTTCAAATGTCCTGGATATTCGTCACTTTTCATAGAATTCTGTCAGTAGTTGGATGTGTACTAAACGCTATGATCTGTCATGTGGCAGCTTGGAAAAGTCCTACAGTAATCAAAACCTATTCTATAATTACTGTTAACGTTGCAATAACAAAATTGGCGATTTGTGTGGTTAACTTTGTGTTGCAGATGAGGTAAGTAGTTTGAAAATCAAACTGAGAAATGACTTTAAAATTTCTATTATAGAATGATTCCAATGCAGAAAACAATGATTTTCGTATCTTATGGTCCTTGCCAATGGTTGAACAACAAGATTTGTTTTGATCTATACAGTATTCTGGTCCATGGATACACTCATACCATCTGGCTACTCCTCTTATCATTCTGCTATCGATACTACGTCATGGTGAAGGCATTGATTCTTTTCGTAATTTATCTCCCATCATTTCTTCAAATGATTCTTCTATTCTTTGACTTCACTGACCCATCCACTCTTCTGAAAATCCAACAATCCCTAGTCCCTCAATATATTCTAAAAAAGATGGAGTTCAAAGGAGTTGACTTGAAATCGAATACTAGAAATTTACAGTTACAACTACTTCGTGTAAGTTACAGGAATTTTTCTGAAACTAATAACTGGTTTATTCAGGTGCTAACATTCCAAGCGATCATCCCTTGCTTCTATCTAATTGGAGTAATCAGCTACTTCGTCTGCCGTTTGGAATTTATCAGGATCCATTTTTCGAGTATCTCATTTTCTCCGCATTCCTTTTTGTTCCAGTACTTTCTCCAATATCTGCATTCATATTTGTTACAACACAGTACCGGAAATGGATTTTGAGAATTTGTAATTTGAGGAGTTATAGAGTGGAATCTGAAAAGTTAGAGACAACGACGAGAGAGGAGACGAGGGATGCAAGAAGACCATCTGCCTCGATTGGTGTCCAGAAATAAAATATTTATGATTCTTTCTTCTTTCAGATATTTTTTGGGTAATCCTCCACTGTTTTTAGAAATTTTGATACTTTTACTGTGTAACTTTTAGTTTTAGTCATAATCCATAAAGACTTTTTTTAGAAGTGAAGTGAACCATCTACTAAATTATTGAAAAGTTAAAAAAAAAACATAGCAGTTCTAAAGATGTTGAAACAGTTAAATTGAAAAATATTTTTTTCTCTCTTTTTCTCAAAAAAAACTATTTTCAGAGTTTTTGAACCTAAGAAACTGGACAAATTGAAACATCCTACGAATAAAAACAGTTTACTTTTATCATATGTACGAACAATTATTCTGATACAGCAAGAATTCAAATTCTCAGCAAGATTTCGGCAACTTGGGAATATTTTTATTCAAAAAATCGTATATACATTCTTATAATAAATAAAAGGAGTGATGTCTGTCCACTTCTTTTCTTTTTTTCTTCTTTGTACTTATGATCATGTCTAAAAACTGAATGATTCTAGCCCAAGAAAAACATATAATAAGAATAATTTGTTGGGACCATTTACGGTACAACAATTCCACAAATCTTCTGAATGTCCCCGTTGTTTATCTCCAGCTGCTGTCACAAACTGGAATCAATAATTGCTAGCAAAACGGAACTTTTTAAAACTATACGATTCTCTGCGTCTCTCCAACCTCTCCGATCCGTTGAAACACTTCTTCTCATAATTCTTGCGAATCCATCTCCTTCCAGGACAAAACTTTTTTCAAGGAGAATTTTGTCCCAATTTCGAAATTCTGTCTTTTTCTGTATGTTTGCGCATGTACTATTGTTCTTCAACCTGCACACACACAGCAATTTTTTCTAAATGTGCTCCGTGTTCTTTCATTTTTTTTCTATTTGTCTAGGTACTCTCCTGGGAGCATACAGTATCTAATTTTTCTAAAGGGTTTTATTTATATTTTTACTTTTTCTCTCTTTTCCCAAAACCACCCACTAAAGAGGCATTTTTTGTTCAAGTTCAATTCACTAAAACACTCTTTTTGTGACTCATACTCTCTTCTCGAATGGCTACTAATCCGTCGGAATTTATGCAAACATTTCCCGATTCACTGTCAACAACCAATTCAATCATTTTTTCCATTTTTGCCATTCATGCATTCATATTTTTTGTTTATTTTTTGCTCCTTTTACAATCCAAGAAGCATGCGTTTTTTGGTCACCACAGGTGCGGAAATGCGACTGTAGATGCAATTTCTTATGCAGTTGAATAGAGGAGCGTTGGGTCGAAATTTTTCGTAAAGACTTGAGGAAATGTTGAAACTGTAGGTTTTCTCACAATTTCTAAATTGGAGAAGGTTCTTTTTGTATTCGAAAGTGATTTTCTAGTTCTAAAAATTACCTCCCGACCTACTAAATTTATAAAAACAATCTAGTTTTAACGGATTCCTAAAATTGAGGATCTAAATTTCAACTTTGTGATTTATAATTTTAATTTCAGAGTATTTGAATCTTTTGTGTAATAGGCCTAACACGGTTGTGACCTAGAAAATATGTTTTTTAGAGAATTCAAAAACAGAGATAATTATAGAACTTGGTTACTGATGATCCTAAAAAAAATATGAGAATTTTTCACATTTTTCGAATTACCATTATCTGAAAATCGGCATGAGCTGAAATCATTCTCTTGTTTCTACCTAATTTTATTTTGAGCGCTTTTGCGCATAAAGCTCAGTTTTTGTAAACTGCTTGAAACTGAAAAAAAACAGTCTTCTCGTTATCTATAATAGACAGAATGAGCATCCCTGAAACACCTGATAATAGATAATAAATATTAAAAAATAAGCAAAAAATAATGGAGAAGTAAATAGACACCCTCGGTGAAACTACCATCGATCATGTTTGCATTCGGATCATTTGCACCGATCTGTTTTGACGTGGCGAAATGATTTTTATTGGATGGTCAGGGTTCAGTTGAACCTGACAAGGGAACGTTTTTAAAAAGGGCTTGGGGAATTTTCTGAAAATTTCAGTACTTATAGTTTGACCCCTTCTCTACACGATGACAAAAAAATCTAGGTCACATTCCCACTAGAAAGCTGAAAATCTTCGTCTGAAAATTTGAGCCCCATTTCGGCGTGGCTTTCCCCTCTCTCCTATACGCCCTCCGCGTGAGGGGAAAATGTCGGCTGTGTGGTGTTGTGGTAGGAGGGTGGCTCAGTAGGAGTTACTATGCTAGTTCGACCCCCACTGTGGTAAAACTTTTTTGCGTTATTTGAAACCAATTTTTGATTTCCAGTTCGAACTTTGGGATTGATAAAATTCTAACGACAAACACACTTTGGAGGTTTTCAGAGCCCAAAGACGAAATTGGGCTGTCTAATTTTGTCAGAATGCTATTTTTATTGTTTCTGAATAATTGGAATATTTTTTCAAACTTTTCAAAAAAATTTCAAAAAATCACTTTCACAGTGTGGGGGACCCCATGGTGATTTTTTCCGAAATTTTTCAAAAAAATTTTTTTTGAATATGTTCAAAAACTGTTTCAGATGATAGAGAAATGTTTGAAAATGAGTTTCGATTTCAAAAACATCCTGAAAAGCGAGGTTTAAAGCTCGAAAAATAAGCGTTTTTTGCCAAAATTTAGTACTGAAAACCCTTTGAGAGCCCATATTTTGATTCCTATTGGGAATGGGACCGAGATTTTGCTGAATTCGTTTTCAGCATGTTGGAAAGTACATTTGTACAAATTTTCAGCAAATTCTCAAAGCCCGTCTAAAAACACTTCCCTTGCCTATTCTATTAAAGGGGCTCGTTCACTATCTCTTCTAATACAGGTTTTACAATATATTACTCTGCTATGAACAATGAATTCTGCTCTCAAAGAAGATCAAACAATTAAAATTTTGCATGCTAAGTTTCATAAAGATATCAAAACTGAAAAAAATTAGAGTAGTTCAGAAAATGGTATGAGTCAGCTTTCCTGCAAAACGCTTAATCTGACATTTGCAGTTTCGAACCGGACCACTAAAAAGGTTACTGTAGTACTAATTTTTGTATTCAGCTTCTATTACTCGATAATTTCGATTTCAGGGATTTCGATTACACATTTTTCAAAAACCAATGTATGTTAGTTAGATTTGAGAACAATTTCCGTTTCAACTACATTTCAGAACCCGAGTATTTTTGAATCTAGGCTCCTGACTTTCATAGCTTTCTGTTGATTTTCCTGTTATTTTTCCTCAAAAAATCATAAAATAAAAAAAATTTGATAGTGGAAAATTGATTGAATACGCACGAAACTCGAGATAATGAACCCAGAAAAATAAGATTTTTTTAGGTTACGGTAGTTGTCATTGTGAGACCTTCGGTCACTGACTAGCGTTTCAGAGATCTTACACATCTACTGCCCAACATAACCACTTCATTGATTTCTATGTAATTTGAAAAAAATTTACTGTTCTAACTTTCTGATAGTATAATTTAAAAAATCAGGATATTAATCTGTCTCCTGCAGTTACAAAATACCGAAAAAAAACTTCCAAAATGTAACAGATATCTCGAATCGCATCTCCTTTTGTTTTGTGAGTGTGATTTTGTGTGACAAATCTTCCTTCCTGCCAGTATGTAGTGCCTTTTCTCTTCTTTTCAATTTAATGTGCGGTCACTCACAGACTTCTCATTTTTCACCCTCCCCCTCCCACTCCATTCACCCCATTTTGTTTCGAAATATTCCATCTTTTTTTTTTGTTTCTAACAATTGTCTTTCTTTTTTTTGCCCCAACTGACTCATTCTAGCGTTCCTCCCTTCCTCTTCAGATATATGACTTTTTGTCCATGTTTACCTTTCTACAATGCTATTAGTTTTCCATCTCTCTCCCATGACTTGTTGTCAGTATAGAAATTGAAATTTAGGACGAGACATGTCATCACGGTTATCACCACATCTTTATCAAATTTAAATCAATCTCGTTTTCTCTTCATCTCCCCACATCATCTGCTTAGAATCTTCCTCTCCAATTGAAATCCCTCTTCTTCTTCTCGTTCCATTAGTCTTCATCCTATACTCATTTTCTCTAATGGATTCAGCGACATCGTCAAAAAACGAAAAGATGTTCCGCGAGAAGGACGTTTCGACTCGACTCATCCGACCAACGATCACAGAAATCCACGTCGACAAGTTGGCTCTTTTTGTGGAGAGATGGAATCATGATTGGGAGATTGATGCAAGCATTCAGGTAGGATTTAAAAAATTGTTTTTCGTGTTTCAAAAACTTCAAAAGACTATGATCATCCTTTAAACTCTAGTTCACAGCTTGGACAATTGAAAAATGACTTCCGGAAGTTTCAGATCTTCGACGAAGGAATCGCTCAATACATGTTGACTGATGTTGAATCTCACTACAAATATTTTGCTGCGTTGATTCTACAGAAACCAAGTTTGAGATGTCGAATTGTGAAGGAGGAGCCGAGAGATGAGCTTGAGGAGCAGGAGAATAGAATTCATTTGGTGAGTGTTGGATAGTGAATTTTTGGAATATTTTAGCTTATTAATTTTGTACTAACTAACTCTTGTTTGAGGTTAATGTTCTTTTGAAACACATAATTTTTTGTGAGAATTACTGTTTCAGATAGTTTTTAGTTTATTTAGTTACAAGTTGATAACATTCAACTTGTTGGAACAGCAGGAAAAATCATAAACCAAAACTACTGTAGCCTGGATTTTTATATTTTTCGGATTTTCTATGATTTTTCTATTTTTGCCCAAAAAAATCGGCTCCGCGTCATTTCGAAACTGCGACACTTCGAAACCAGTCATCTTGAAATCCTGGTAATAGACGCTAATGGATAAATTCCAGACTACGAAAACAATTAAAAAGTTTTCAAATATGCTTTTTCTGGTAGAACACATTCTGAAAATCGGTTTTTTTTTTTGGAAAAATTAAGTTTTGGATTTTTTGGATTTCAGAATGTGTGTCGGTCAGAAAAAGCATATTTGAAAGCCCACAAAACGGACGAAAATCGAGACAAAACACCGGAAAATTTGTGTGATAAGTGGTTCGAATCACTGTTTTAGATAGTCTTGTTAGTTCTAGTCGTTTTAGAAACAATTTGATAATGGTAGTTTTCCCATAAACTCAAATCATCGCTCTTTTCTAAAAAAATCTCAAACATTCACTTTTGTGTTTTTACTTTCGTTGTTAAAATGACTGTTTCAAATAGCCTTGTTAGCTGTGATTTTAGAATACAAAAGGCTGTAACTATTATAATTGTATTAAAAAACATCGTAGCTGTGAGAAACGCCTGTGGCCGTGGTCCTACAAATACAGTAACTAATTGTAAGACTTTTTTTTGAGTTTATTTTTTCGATGTACGTTTGTTTTCAGTCATAGGTTACGGTTGTTGTCGCTGTGGGACCTTGGGCCAAAGCTCCAATTTTTATATTATTGACCTCTTTTTTGAAATGATTCATTTAGAATGAATAAAAATGAATAGATTTGCATATATAAAAGTTATGGGTTTTCTACAAAGACTGCAACTACTGTAAGAATGTTTTCTCGAAAATTTTAATGCTTGCTAGTAGCAAGTTGCTATTAGTCTTCCTCATATCATATTCAAATTCAAAATAATTTTTCAGCTCGGCGGTGAGAAACTCGATAATCAGAGTCATGGAAGTGTGGAATACCTGAAGAACATTCTGCACAAAAGAGGATACCGATTTGAATAATAACTTCTTGTGTTTTCTCTATATTCTTCCTTCTCTCTTCACTTTCCTGATGAATTATTAATGCACATATCTTGTCAATATCTTCCTAGTCCCCCCTGAATCCCTCCTGATATAATTGTGTCCTTGAACCCTAATCACTGATGTCTTCAATAAAAAAAGAAGTTGGTCTTTAGCTTGTTTATTTATTTATCTCGGGTGCGTTGCTTTTTGGCACAGCCATCCATTTTTTTCTCTAAAAACACAAGTTGAGATACAATTGTGGAAGATGCCCAGAGGTCTAGAGACCTCACTCCTCTTCCCAAACCAAACTGAACGCCAGTACCGACAGGCACCGACCCCGTCCGGAGATGAAGAAGCATGAGAGAGACGCAGAGAGAATAGTGTCTGCACCTCGAGTTAGAATGTTGTTTTTCATGGACCCTTTCATGGGAAGTCTATCAGAAAAAGCTCTAAAAACAGGTTGAGTATAAAATTCATTCTTCAGCCAATTATTAATACAATGAACGAGCCAAAATTATTATTTTTTTCAGAATAAAATGTTTGTTACAGTAAGAAAAAACTTATAGGTGCAGTGTCATAGATTTTGTTTCGCGGCGAAACCTGAACGGCACTGTAATTAATTTGCGAGTTGTGTCGATTTTTCTAGTTTTTCAGCTTATTTTTTGATTAATTTTCGAGAGAAACTTTTTAAAAACTGTTGAAATGTTAGAAAACTTGTAAAAATCTTAGAAGTCAGCAACAAGCCCGGTTTGTTAGAATGAAATATTACAGTAGGAAAACTTAAAGGCGCAAGTGATAGGAATGTTTTTTTCGTGGCGAATCCTGAAGGGTACTGTAATCAATTTTTCGATTTGCGTGGATGTTTTCAGCCAATTTTTTTGGAAAAGACTTTGTGAGCACTGTTTAATGTTAGAAAACTCGAAAAAAAATATGAAAAACAAACACCATTTGGGTCTCGAAACGAAACAAAAGTTTTGCGGGTTACTGTTTGCAAAAAACATTGTTTTTTCTCATATTTCTCCACTTTTCCGTTCTAAAAATCATCATTCTCACCTAACTTTTTCTACTAGACTACATTTGATTAATGATTGTCACATATTATTCCGAAGATCTTGATTAGATCATCAATGTAATGCTCAGTAAATAATAGATAACACACCAGGCGCAATCCGCACGATGGCCACATGATTATTTTTGTGTTTAGCTTCTCTCTCATCGACACGTTCGGTTTTTTCTCTCGATTTTTTGTCGGTCTTATCCCTATCTCACATCTGTTCAGTTACCACCCGCAGGGGAGAGAGAAAAAACAAATTGAACGGTTTTTCTCCTCTTTTTTCTACCTCCCACCCATTTTTTGTGACGAAAGTGTTCGTCTTATTCTCAAGTACGTATAGTTACCGGGAAACAGGTGACTGGTACCACTTGGAATAAGCTATAAAACTGTTTGGGTGCTGGTCACCCAGGCAGCCGCTATCAGTTTAAAAATGGCTTGTGACACTACTTCTAGTGATACGTCAGCGCGTTCTGGAACTTTTCGAGAGGAAGAAGAGAGTTATCAGGAAAAGGTGAGGAGCGAGAATTGTTTTTTCTCTTTTTGATCACTAACACCTATAGTAGAAACTAGGAAGTGTTATTGACACTTGTTCACAAGCTTCATTTTATACTTGAAAACGGGCACTGTCATAGTTTCTTTTGAGATTATAGTTTTTTACCAACTAAATCAGATATGATAGAACTCAACAAGTACTACAAAATGATACTATTCGGAAAATCGTATATGAGCAAAGATACAAGTCAAAAACTGTTCTGCGATCACAGCTTTCTGGTTTTGTAACTTTGTTCATAGCCGGGATACAGTTTTCCAAGTAGTATCATTTTGAAGTACTCGTCGAGTTCTATCATATCCAATACAGTTGATCGAAAAAATATTGAACCCAAAAGAATTTATGTCTGGGTCCGCCAGGGCTCGTTTTAGGTCCATTTTATCCCCTGTTTTGTCCCTTTTTTTAAAACAAAATTGTTGCGAAACTGAGTTCTTTGTGTGTGTATTTTCGCATTGCTTTCGAAACAAAGTTCCATAAAACATGTTTTTCTCCACTTCTTGAAAATTCTTGTCCTTTGAAATTTCATTTAATTGAAAAACATCGATTTTTACTCTCTAAAAATCCTCATCCTAATTACTCACACTCCTACTGCATATCCACCTGTATTTTCGGTCGAATTAGGGTAGAGAAATGAGAGTTAGAGAAATAGACGCGAAGTGTGTGTATGCCTAGTGTACCCCCGTATAGAACATTCGAGCGTGCGGCAGAGCGCGATTTCATAATATCATCATCTTGGCAGAAGAAAGAACTGAAGAAGATGTGGAATAACAACAACTGTTCAAGAAAAGACGACCTTTTTTTGATTTTTTTTTCATTTGATGTGTGACGAAATCCATTGAGGACCTTTTGTCTGGAATCTTGTGACTTTTGACTCTTGTTATTTTACTTGAATCAGGTGAAGCTGGCTTTGTTCAAAAATTAGCTCAGTGAGTCGTTGATTCTAAATTTCTCATTTAAGAACTGTTATAGAGTTTCTATTATAATGATTGTGTATTTGAACATAATTGCTCATATCCTCAAGTTCAATTTTAACTTTAAAAATTGAGCTATGAAAAAATAGGTCACAATATCTATTTAGTCAATTAATGGGGTTATTCAGGTGAGGCAAAAAAAAACACGGAAAAGAACCTGAAAAATTGCAAAAAACTCTGCGAAAACTCGGCGAATGGACCAAATTTGCTGAAACTTTAGGGAAACTGAAAAAAACTATAGGGAACATATTGCCAAAATTTGGCTAGAATTCCAAATTTTCAGTGGATATTGACCCCGAATTTTGGCAATATGTTCCCTATAGTTTTCTCCAGTCTTCCCCGAAGGTTCAGCCAGGTTAGTCCATTCTCCGAGTTTTCGCAGTTTTTCGCTATCTTTCAGGTTTTTGACGGGTTTTTTGCCTCACCTGAATAACCCCATTAGAGTGTATTTTTTGAAATCGCAAACTAAATTTCTATGAAATTGAACCAGACTTTTTGAATTTTTATGTCATTTGGAATCAGTTCAAAATTAAGATCCTTATTAGTTTTAGATTTTTTTGTCTCTGATTCTTTCGGTTTCTTTTAAATCCTATTCAAAAAATCCGCACAAAGAACAGTCTAAAAGTGCAAATCAATCTGTCTACACCGCTCTCCCAGACATCTGCTTATTCTGTCTCCGTCTCTCCCTTTCATACATTTTAAAAATAGCATTCTCCCAGGCTATCCGCGCGGTAGTGGACGCGGCGCCCGTCCTGCTGCTGCTGCGTAATCGGCGGGTGGTCGTATTCAGTGCCCCCTCCGTCCGAAAGTCAGTTTGTCCCTTCGTTTATTCCTCACGACGTTTTCGGCCTTGTCCATTGATTTTCTGGCGGTTTCAATATTTTTGTCTCTTTCTTACTATTTAGGATAAGAGCCACCATCTGCTCTCCTCTCTTCCTTTTTCAAGGTTGTTTCTCGGAGTTATTGACTTCATCGTCGCAGTTTGTGGCAAGAGAATAGAGAGGACGAAACCCAATTTTTTGTGTCTTTCGTAATGTTTTTTTGTGGTCAAAATTGTTCCTCTTGAATCGAATCGGATGCCAAATTTGTTATCATCTAGCCATCGCTCCTTTTTTCTTATCACCTGTTCTCCGATTTGGCCGTGTCGGTCATTTTATTCGGTCAAAACTTTTTTTTGTTTCAGCTTCAAAATGGAACCACAACGGAGCTACATTTGCCTGAATTGTCAGAATCCATTGCGAATAGAATTCGCACAACGACGACCCGATTCAGCGGATTCGGAGAAAAAAGTGGGTTTTAAAATGTTTTTGAGAAATTTACAAAAAAAGAATATAAATTCCGTTATTTGAAAGGAAAATCGATTTCGTATTTTCTCGAAAAACCGTAATTTTCGTTTCGAGACCCAATCCAAAATGATTAGAATTCAGAACTTCTTTTAATAATTCTGAATATTTTTTACATTGAAGTTCGTATTTTTCTATGGAATGGCTTCAAAAAATCAATTTCTTAAAGTTCTGCTAGCTTACGGTTTTGGAAAATTTTGGAAAATTTGATAATTTCGTATCCTTCTGATGAGGTGCTTAGAAAACTCTTTGTTTTTTTCATTTTCTTGTCGAGACCACCGATTTTTGAATATTTACGAAATTCCATTTTTTCACTTTGACTGATTTTCGAATTTTTTGAAAAAGTTCGAAAATTTGACAGATATCTTAAAGTTCGGAACGTTTGTTACCATAGAGAATTATCTCAATTTTTCAATTTCTTACCTAAAATTTTTTTCAGAGCGAAACGGTGATCACCGAAGCGTTGACAGGACACTCTCGGAATCTGATGAAGCTCATCTCCGATGCTCAATTTCCATCCGACGCGCCAGTTTGCTGTGTAAGTTCCCCAGAGTTTTTACAAAAAATCCATGTTTATGACCTCAAATTTCCCAAAAATCGCTTATATATGAAGTTCCCCTCCATTTGTCACGATTCTCTCAATAAAACCCTTTCCAGGACTGCTCAGACGCTCTAGTAAAAGAAATGGATGCTCAAGTGGCAACGCTGGAAGACGAAACGAAAACCTATTCGACCTATATCAACTTCCTGCGAGAAAACCATCCAACGACAGCGATTCCGGAGTTAAAAGCGAAGCTGCAGAATGTGACAGAAGAGGAGAGAGATTTGGAGCAGCAATTGAAGAAATTGTTGGCTGAGGAGGAGTTGATCGATACGGAACTTCAGAAAAAGAGACGGCTCGCGGAATCGTCTTCGGAGAAGTCGGGAGAGTTGTGGAATAAGTATAGGGACAATTTGAGGTGAGTCTTTCATGATATTGCGTCCAAGTGCCTCAAAGCTGTGATTTTCGGGTCCAAAAAACTGTTCAAAGGGACGTCCAGATCCCCAAGATTTCCAATTCGCATAGTTTAAACCAGCGCGACCGGCTTTCTGAAATACCAATTTTTCAACAAAATTATCGTAAAATGTTACTGATTTTTGCGGGTCTCGAAGCGCTGAAAGGGGTACGGTTGCACTGGTTTCAACTGTGCGAATTGGAAATATTGGGGATCTGGACGCCACATTGGACAAATTCCAGTTCCCAAACCTCACCGATTCAGAACATTATCCGAAAAATTAAAAATATATTCCAGACAAGTATTCGAGGATCAGGATGAGCTGTTTTCGTTGGATGCCGAACGCCAATATGCAGAAGTTCAGCATCGGAAGCTCATCGACACGAATGTTCTCGACTTGTGCTTCCACATTTGGGTCGACGGAATCGTTGGAGAAATAAACGGATTTCGTTTGGGCTACCTGAAAGATGCTCCAGTGGAGTTCACTGAAATTAACGCAGCTCTCGGGCAAATTGTTTTGCTTTTGGAGGTAAATACGTCATCTAAAATTTAGACTAAAAAGTCCGATTTATGCAATTTCCACTTTTGCCCATCATCATGTCGACTTTTCCGTTCTTGTCTAATTCGCCACTAATTTCCACGCTATTTCCATCTTCAGATCCTGTTGGAGCGTATCGGCGTACAACATCACGAACTGGTGCCCGTCGCAATGGGCAGTCACTCTTACATCAAGCTACGACGCAACGGCAATGACATTGAAAATTACCCGTTGTACGGTCAAGGAACGCCACTCTCCGGATCGTCTGGAATCGACGCTGGAATTCGGAGATTCTTGCAGTTGTTAGAGTTTTTGCTCAAGGAGCTCAAAGTGAGTATTTTGGATTTGCAGACTACAGTATTTCCTCTAATAGAAGCCCACCCAAACTGTAAATTTTAACCTCAATTAGATGCATTCCTGTGAAAGATATCAAAATTTTGTCAACAGATAAACTCTTGGTGATATTATGATAAACAATTTTTTTCCAGGACCGCAACAAGAACTTCAAACCGCCATACCAGATCCACGCGGACTCTCTCGTCGACAACGGCGTCAAGTACAACGCCGTCATGACACTCAACACTGACGTACGATGGAGTCGGTCGATGGCTCTGATGCTCACAGATATGAAAGCCGCGTGTGCTCAATGTGATGCTCTCAGAGCTCCGATCTGAGGTCCCGATCTAATTGGATCTTCTGGAATTTAGAACCTTCAATATTCGCTAGACAACATTTTCGCTTTTTTCCACACACAAAATCGCTTTTTCCACACACAAAATGGGCTTTTATCTCAGGGATTTAATGTTTTCTATTTTTTTAAACTTTTTGAATAGTAATTTTGTGATCACTCTGTAAATACCTATAATTTGTAAATATGGTGAAGAATAAAGCATTTTTTTCGTTTTTGAAGAGCTCAATTCGTTTTCATTGGTTTTTTTACCAAATATGTTGCCTAACTCTCTGTTTTTGCTCATTTTGTTTGAATTTTTCACTGAGAATATGGTTTTTCCTTTTTTGATCTACCATTCTCCCGCCAATTTTTGTTTCTTGTTTCTGAAATTCATTTTTGGGCCAATTTCAGTTTGTTCCTAAAATTCCTTTGGGCGATTTTTAGTGATTTTTTATCGGATTACTCGTAAAATTTATCTTAAAGGCGCAAGAGCGAATTGCTGTATTTTTAAGCATATTTCAGATATTACTTCCTAATTTCCCTAAATTTCGACGATTCTCACGGTTTCAAAATGACTTTGATCATTTTAGGTCATTTTTCTTCCTTCTTCCTATTTCCATCGAACTAACGATGAAAATTTAACACAACTTGACCGATTTTCTTAAAATTTTTATCGCTTCGGACCCTTTAAAATCTTCTAAATTCTCGAATTCTTTCAGAGAAGGTCTCGTGTCGTCGTACACGCGTCCCTCCCGTCTCCGATCGGACTCTGGTCACTCACGAGTCCGTGGTGCTGTTCGTTGAGTAACTTCTTCGAAACCCCTCTCTTTCTCTCTAAAATCCTCTCTACATGGGCGGTTCATCACGCCGTCAGCGAAGTACGTCGGCGACCCGACGACGAGCAGATAGAAGACGTGCTTGCTCGACGACGACTACGGTGGCCGACGGAGAGGAGACGACCACCACAACGACGACGTCGGTTCATGGGCTGTCGGTCAGTTTTTATCAATAAAAATATAAACATTATGGAACCCAAAATATCATCATTTCACGGGGTGGACAAGAGCATGACTATCTTTTTCTTGTCATTTTTCTAGTTTCTGAGGTAATATGATTCGACCTAGTTTTTTCCTTAATTCTATTGGCGGATTTTCGAAAATCTCGAAATTCTAAAATTAAGTGTGAAAAACCATAGTCTCGTGCTGTCAGGTGCCTCTAATATAATCAATCTAATGATCCTTCCTTCAATCTAATAATCTTTTTATATCTTTTAATCTTATAAATCCCTCATAAGCTAGCTTATAAGCCCCTAGAATGAATATTAACTTTTTTCCCACACACATGGGCTACAATGTATTTGCTCTATTCACTTTTCAAAAATCGCCTAAATAATATTTACTTTGAACACAAAGCTGCCCCTACGTTTTTCTCGCTTATCACACCATTTTTGCTCTCCTTATCAATTCAGTCACATCACGCTCGTCATCTGAATCTCCGCGCATTTTCAGTGTTAATCGATACTATCTGAAAGGCATTGTCACATCTGTCTCGTTGTCTAACGCTCTCTTCTGCTCCTATCACTTTTTTCTTGCTCTCTCGATTTTATCTGCAAAGCGGTGAAGCCGGAACGACGCCGACCGTTCGTAAACTTTGAAGTCTGAGAGAGGTGAAAGTCGAAAAGTACGGAATTGGGTCGCTAGTTGGAAATGTGTTAATGTTAAGGACTTTCATATTTTTGGAGGTTGGAATTTTGAGCGGATTACTGTAGAACCTGTGATAGAAGGGCAACCTTAAATTCCCAAAACTGGCAAATCTCAAAAAATCGCTTCTTGTCCTTTTCTGGAAACTTTCGGAATTTTCTCGAATCTTTTTTTTCGAATTCCCGCCAAAACTGGAAACTCCGTGAAATTAGCGATTTTTTGCAAAATTTTCAGACCTTTTTAGGGTTTTCAGATATTTTCGATAATTCTTTTTTGATTTTTCCGATGTTTTATTGTCTGAAATTTAACAGGATGGTTTATTTTGTAGTTTTTTTTTGCAATCACTATCAGTTTCTTCTGCATTTTGACGTGATTGTGTTTGCAAAAAACTACAAACTACAAAAGGAAACAAGTTTTCTACAGTAATCTTTGCGAAAACCGTTCCATCAAATTTTAAACGGAAAACCGGAAAAATCAAAAAAGAATTATCAAAAATAGCGAGAGAAAATCTAAAAAGGTCTAAAAATCTTGCAGGTAATCGAAGAAAAAAAAATTGTTTTCGGAGTTTTCAGTTTTGACGGATTTCGGGAATAAGATTCGAGAACCAATGCGATTTTTCGAGATTTCAGCTTTCTTTCTATATCAATCTACTCATTTTTCTACACTGTATATGTATTAGAAGGGCCGGCTCTTCTATTTTTCCAAGGTACCTACGGAGGGCCCTTCTATTAGAGTGGCTTTAATATTGGAGGGGACCTTCTAAAACAGGTTTTACGGTAAAAGAAAAAAAATTGTATGTCCGAAATATTTTGTCAGTCGACACATTTTTCATAGGTTACCCAATTTTACAAAAATTCCGGATTCCCATTTCAACCCCTATTTTGCTTTGCTTTCCCGCAAAGCTACACAATCTAGACAAATTGCAATATGTCTGAAAATAGTTATTTTAGAGTTTGTCAATTGTTTGATTCTTCCACGCTGCTTCAAAATTTTCTCCCAGCCTACTCGCCTCTTCCCCCCACGAGACAGTCTCGCTGATTTTTTGAACTGCATCAGCGCTCCTTTTTTCAATTTTTCCAGCCACAAACTGATAGCAGCGACGGCGACACCTGTATGATATCATTCTGGAAAAAAAATGTAAAAAGTTGAGAGAGATGCCGGGTGTTTTGATCTGGAAGAGAGGAAATTATGCAGAAAAGTTTCCGAGTATTGAAACAGGGTACTGTAGTTAGGGCAAGACGGGGTACTGTAAGACTAAGGGACAACGACAACTACACTAACTTAAAGGCTCACCAAACACACTGATTGTTTTCCTGAAGAAATACGTCAGGATAAAAACACCTCTTTTGGTCTTTGTAGTCAGTTTTTTCTCCTATTTTTAGGCAGAAAACAAATCGAAGAATTGTGATCACAAATAATCCAATTTTCCACTCCTACATAGAGAAAAAATCACATTCTCCCACTTTCCTCATCTGATCTGTTTATTATGTTTTCGTCCTCTATTTTGTGCCCAGATTTGTGTCCGGCTCCAAAATCCATTCATCTCCTAAGAGATAGAGTGTCAACAGCATACATATGCACCCAGTTTCTCCCCTTTTTCTTTTTCCCCAATGCACTCAAAATTTTTGGCTGCTCTCCGAGCGTCTTGCTCCTCTTATCAGTTTGACGATTTTTGAATTTTTAAACCGACATATACAGCAATGAGAGTTTATGAAGTCTTTGATCTTATTTCATAGATAATCAGACACTATCAGTTGAAAGGTTGCCAAAAATTGTCAAAAGTAACGTGATCACCTATTGATTTCGGGTCGTTTGGCTCTATGTGGTTAGTAAGTCAGGTATCCAACTCAACGAGGGCCTATCTAGCTTCGAGGTGTATCAGTTAATTTTTTTTCGTCAGAAGCACTTCAAATTGGCTCTAATTTCGACAAGCTCTCAGAGCTAGAAATTCCAGCAGGAGGGAACTTTTTTGAAGTGTGAGTGAATTTAGACGGCAGCAATTTGAATTCCTGGTAGTGAGCACTTTGGAAATTGATCCGGAAAGTGTCTCATTTACGGTCCAGCGCTTTTGAGAGCAACAGAAATAGAGTATTCCCTATAATAGAAGCCAACCCCGTACGTCCACTTTGAGCTCAATTATCTCCATTCCTATCAGAGATATCAAAAATTTGTCAACAGATAAAATTTTCAAAATATTGTGATATGTATTTGATCAGTTGACAGATTTTTGATATCTCTCACAGAACTCGAGATAATTGAGCTTAAAATACATGTATAAGGTTAGCTTCTATTAGATCATTTATGGTATATGTGTTCCTAAGCTTTTTCTGATCTACTAGTTATGCCAAAAAAACCATGGTTTTCTGATCTAGGAAGCATATCAAAGAACACCTCTAAGTTCTGAAAACATAAGGGCACCAGACTGTTATTATTTTTACCGCCTCTCCATGTCAACACACACTCGTGAGATCTTCGATTTCCCCCGCTCTCTCACTACAATGGCTTATCGTCGTGAATGTTGTAGTCGTTTTGTAGTCGTGTTGATTCGCTTATCAATTGAATTCGTCAACGACGTTGCAAAGCGCGCGCAACGCAGAATTCGGATCGAAAAGTTGCGATTTTCGATCTCTCTCTCTCTCTCTCTCTCTCTCTCTCTCTCTCTCTCTCTCTCTCTCTCTCTCTCTCTCTCTTCCTCTCTCTCTCTCTTTCTCTCTCTCTCTTTCTCTCTCTCTCTCTCTTTCTCTCTCTCTCTCTCTCTATCTCTGTTTTGTGTCGATCCGTGTTCAGCGCCAAATAGACACGGCGGTCACAAAATCTTGTCTCACCTCGGCCCTCCGCGATTCTCGACATCCATTGCTCATCCCTGCGCGTCTTCTATTTCAGCCATCTCTCCTCTCCTCTATTTTCTCCGTATCCACACTATTTCATTTGTCATCATTTTTTTCGCGCGCGCGACGTTAGCAAAACTCGGAGGTATCAGAGAAAAAAAGGCCCAGGCGAGTATACTGTTTCGATGGTGTCTATGCCCGGAGAGAAGTTTTTTCTGGCGCCTTCTATTTACTAGTTGAATCTTTTCCCCCACCAAAAAACAGTTTTCTTCTTCTGTTTTTCGTCCTTTTTGTTGATGGAAATGGTCTTCTTATGTTCCCGCCTATTTTGGTTTCCTTTTTTTTTGGGCAATTCATTTTGGAAACTCACAGAGTTCGACCTGCTACGGTATGCTGTTGCGCTCTATTGAGAAAGTGACGTCACCTTCTCATTGGAGCGCAACATCATACCACAGCAATTCGAAACTTGTGGAAACTTCGTTTTTGTTCTAGTTGGCAATCTCTCTTTCACTAATAGCGTTTTCAAGTCGACCTCGAGCTAGTTTAACTTCTCGCTTATCAAGAATTCTCCCGTGTTTAAACATCTAAACCCCCAATCAACAACTCGACGACTCGCCCTCCGATTTTTCGATGATTTTTCTGGGTTGCAATTCTCATTCAAGTCAAAATGCCAGCTAGCTTCACACCTCATTTTTCGTCATTTTCAGATTATTTTTTTTCTAGAAATTTACAATTTTTTGTGATTTTTTTGGCTTAAAAATCTCGATTTTACAGTAACCCTTCAGACTGTTTTTTCTTCAATTTCAGTTTTTTTGTCTCAGTTCTACAGTAATCTTCCTACAGTTTTTTTTCATTTACAAATTTCGATTCTACAGTAATCCTTCTACTCCGCTCCAGACATCTTTTTTCACACTTTTTTGACCTACAATATTTGCTCTACAGTTTTTGTTCCCGCGATTGTTCTCTTTTTCTCTCATCTTCGATCTCTCCGATCACTCTTCAAAGTTCACAGTCCAGTTTTCCTTTTTTTTTCTTGCAAAAACGTTTTTTTCAATCACCAGCATAGCCTTTTTGAAGTCTTTTTGAGTTACTGTAGCTTGTGAGTTTTGAGACTTTGAAAATTAAGAATTTTCAGATTTTTGAAAAATCATGTTGATTTTTTCTTGATTTTCGGAACCATTGATCCTTCTCGAAATTCTCATTTCATGGTCTATTTGCCTGATACAATTCTATAGAATTCTAAAGCTCTAATTTTAAGCGAAATTTCGAATTTGGCGCTGAATCTAGTCCAAAAGTCGTTGACATCATCAAAAATCGGTCTCTCTAGTTCTCTCTCCGTCGTACAAAACTGACAAAAGTCACGTCTGCCGCCTCTTTCCTCTCTCTATTCCGCCGACCCTCGTGAGACCAGAGAAGACAGGCAGTTCTCTCAAATCGTTCTTCTTATTTTTCTCCTTCTTGTCCTTTTTCTCTTGTTTTAATGTGAATGATGTTTGGTGAAGTTTTTTTAGTTCCCTTTTTCTACATTCTTTTCAAAATCCTCGATTTTTTCAGTCCATACTCATCTGGATCCTTGCCACGTCATCACTGATTGTGGTGTACCCTCCGCCATCACCCAGCCACCCAACGTCATACAACGCCGTTGCAGCAGCAGCCGAAAAGCTCATTTTGGACGACATCACACCATCGCTAAGTAAGCTTTTTGAATTTGTTGACGTCTTGAAGGCGTGCCAGACACCTTGTCTGGTCATCAAGCACTTTTTAACCCCAGAGGGACCGCATGTACTTTTGAATTAAAAAATTGCCTTGCAGAAATGTACGGACAATACGATCACCAAGATCAACAACAACAGCCACAAATGGTCCCGTCGAAGTATGATTTCCCACAATTCAATCGTCGAATGGGTCTTCGTTGGCGTGACGATGATCGAATGAGACAAATGTTCGCCCAGCCACATCACCAGCAACAACCGTACCCAATGATGAATCCAGTTCTCACGGAGCATCATCCAACTCATTCGTTCGGAATGCCATCCACTTCTAGCCATCAAGGAACATCTTACGGATACAACTCTCCAACACCGACACTTGAAGATATCGATCTGATTGATTGTCTGTGGAGAAATGATATCGCTGGAGAGAAGGGAACCACACAAGTCTCGCCAGCCGATCAGTACGTGCGCGATTTGCAGATGTTGACTGAGAAGTCTACGGTAGAGGTGAGTATTAATGAGATGGGATGGAATGGGGTGGCCCAACCTAGATGAGAACGTCTGAAGAGGGGCAGAGAAAAGAAGAATTTATTGATAGAAATATAATAAGTGAAGAGTATGGAATCTGATAGGATAGAACAGCTCAAGGCATAGGCAGTTCACAGACGAAAAATTGTGGTAGCATCTCACGACATCCGTAGTCGAACCATGTTCCTCTTTGCTCCTGATGGAACGCCATATAAGCACAATCGACCTCTGGCTCATTGGGCTGCGAAGAGTCCCAGTTCAAATAGTCCGCTTCGGTGCCATCGGACCATTTGTACACTTGGAAAGTGTCATTCAGCTTATTCAATCCGATCCAGACATTGTTCTCTGGAAAAGGAATTCGAGGAAATCTGGGTCGGCGGTAGCCGATTTTCGACCGACCGAAATGGAAGCTCAAAACTCACTTTTTCTCAGCTTGTGCACAAAAAGATTCTCGGATTCATCCTTGATACTAACCAAATGTCCACCCATTGATCTACAAACATTCTCTGCTGGAATCCACATCAAATCCGTCTCGAACAGCTTGTACCAGTGATCTTCGTACAGTTGCCATCCCTGTAGAAATTCGTCATTTTCGTATTCCTCTCCGCCGCGGACTCCGCGCCTACTTTCGCCTATAGATAACGCACATAACGCCACTTTTTGAGGAGTTTTCCTGGGTTGTGTCGTCATTTTTATTTTTTCTAGATAATAGACCCCGCTTATCAGAGTTTCTCGGATTCGTCGCTTGACAGATAGGGCGTTTTCTGATTTTCAAGAAAAAGCGTTCGACGATGACAATTCAACCCGGCAGTATTTTGTAGGTCAAAAAGAGCACGTAGAGACTGTGTAGACTTTGAGCTGCTATTGTTTTAAAGGTACACGTCATTCATAGGGTGTCTCCCTAAAGAGTAGTAGGTTACTCACGCTTTGTTGAAGAGCCAGCACGGTTAGTAGACGGACATTGACGTCGAGATTTATGGCACGTTGGCCAGAAATTGATTGATAAGAAGACTTTAGAGGACTTGGAATCACTACAGAAGACGTTGGAAGGGCTAATAGGGTAGAAAGGAAGAAGAGGAGGATAACCATGACTCCGATGGGAAACGAATGAATGAAAAATTGGGGAAATTGGAAGTGGAGAGATACATCATCTGATATAGTATCGCATTTCAGTTTATTTGATTTTAACGTAAACGAATTTTTTACTGAAATAATTTCAGACACTCACTACTGAAGAAAGCCTTCGCTATGAGGACCTCTCGAAGAACTTCTATGAAGGATTCTACAATCCATACAGTAGCTACCCGAAGGCGCACTCGGAACAAATGAAAGCGACAACTCCTGATCAGCACCACGCTCCCACAGACGGATCAGGCAGTGATCTTCCAACTGACGAGGATCTTGAAGAGCTTCTGAAAGAGGTCGACCATGAGGAGAGTGAGCTGAACAGAGTGTTTGAGAACAAGCCAAGTGAAAATCCAGTTATCAACAATGTTTCATTGTCAGAGGCTACCGTATACACACAGTCTAACTGTAAGAAGACGTCAAAAATAATAACTATTCAAATTCCCGTTTTTCAGTGACCGAAATGCAGGAGTTACATGACATGTGCAATCAGGTCAATATCACTGCTTCATCAGTAGTTTCAGCTTCCGAATCAGCCACCCTTTTCAACGTGACTGATGAGGTTACCAGAGAGATGTGGCAAGAATCAGATTTACATCCAAATGACTGTAAGTTTTGTGCATTTTTCTCTGCTCATCTATTCCTCTTTGTTCTCTCTTTCTCTTATCAAAGTGCTCTTTTTGATAACTGATGTTTCCTGACGAAAGTTGAGAGACTAATGAAGTGGGCGTGCCCTTATTAGCTCCGCCCAATTTTGAACAGCTATGAGCCAAGAGGCGGAGCCTTTAAAAATGGGGCTAATCTCTGATAAAAGTCCTTATCAGGAAAACGGAAACTTTATATAAGTACCCGCTTTTTTCAATGTCTTTACCTTCTGATTTTGCTGCTTCTCTATTCAATCAAGGTTCCACTAAAGAGGACAAAGATAAAGAGCCGCAGAAGCTAATAGATATGTACCTTCAAATGTTCCAACAGCCAATTGAGCACCACGCTCATCATCAGCATCAATACTATTCTGGCGTCTCGAGCACTTTTGATAGAGGTTCATTTCTTATCATCCATTAGGGCCTTCCTATCAGTCATCATATCTATCTCTCATCCTTTTCATTCCCCGTTTTTCAGTGTTCCCACAATCGGACTACATGACTGTCACTGCTCAAAACAACACTCCAGAAGCCATCACTTCTAATGGAACCTTTGAGCACGCCTACGGACTTCCACCAATCTCTCCACTATCTCTTGATTTCGCCAGTAGCAGTACCACTGGTCGTCAGCAACAGACCCAAACAAGTCCAGCAAGTGCCACAGTCACCGCCGTCGCCACTCAAGGAATCCTCGAGTACGAGGGACAGAGAAACTCGTTCAGTGATAGCACAACGTGAGTAGACATTCCAATTTATCACCTACAGTAGTCCAGACGTCGTTAATGTTAGTTAGAGATCATTTAGGAATCAATAAACTTTTGGGACTCTTGGGATTGCTAATGTAGTAATGAAAAGGGCATGAGCCATTCTATAGTTGTTATAGTGCAATTAGGCATCTTGGGACCTCACTTTTTTCTCCATAAAGTACACTACCAAAAGTGCAATCCATATATAAATCTTTCAGTGATTCATCGTCCCCATGCTCTGGAATGTCTTCACCATCATATGATCACGAGTCTCGTTTCTACGGAAAACTGCTTCCACACCGCGAGAACTTCTTCGATCGATCATCAACACCATCTCGCAATGGAGCCGTCGCAACCAAAATCAACCGAGTGGTGAGCAGCGGACAACGCAAACGCGGACGTCAGTCGAAGGATGAGCAACTCGCCAGCGAGCACTCGCTTCCAGTCACTGCTCATCAAATCTCGGAGATGTCGTTGAGCGACTTGCAGAATGTGTTGAAGATGGGCGGTCTCAGCGAGTACCAGAAGCAATTGATCCGAAAGATTCGTCGACGTGGTATGTTTTGCAATACTAGAAATTTAAATGCAATGTTTTGATTTCAGGAAAGAACAAGGTCGCTGCTCGTACTTGCCGTCAACGTCGTACCGACAGACACGATAAGCAAACCAACATGAACCATTACATCTAGACGAGAACTCGTTTTTTTTTCCAGGACACTTGTCCTAATTTGTAATGAAGCTCCCCCCCAATAATTGATATAATATTTATATCCCCCTTCCATCCAATCAATTTGATCTACTTTTTCCCCCTTCTCCCGCGGATTCAGATATCCCCCAGTGAAATACCTCAAAGTACAGGATTTTTGCAGTTTTATCATCTCAATATACCCCCAGTTTAATTTATTATTATCTGGTATCCTCCTCCCCCAAAAATTACTCTTTTTGCTTTGAGCCTGGAGCTCGAAACCCCATACAAATAGATAGAAACGGGTCTCGTGACGAAAACTGATCACACGACTCCTCCACATTTTCTCCACCCTATCCCTCTCATACCCCCACCACTCTGAATAATGATCTTTGTATTTTTCTATTATCCTCAAATCTCTCTGTTTCTTTCTTTTTTTCGTTTTGTCTCTATTCTGTTTTTTGTCGTTTGTGTCGGTCATCATTTTCAATTTTTCTCAACTTTCTCAGATCTATATTCTCTTTTTCCTGTATTTTTTGAATCTGTACACCCCCACCCACCCCGTCCCTTTTCCCTTGATATCTACCGACCCAACACACCGAGAAAAAGAAAATCCGCCACCCTGTCTCGAAAAAATGTACATTTTCATATGTCCATATATTGTTTGTCTTCAAAAATCAAGTAAAATAGAAAATTTTTTTTCACAAAGTTGTTTATTGGTGTACAGAAAGCAAAGAAAAATCAGAAAATTTCGAATTTCAAGACAAAAAGCAAAGAAACTGAAAAATCTGAAAGTCAATTAAAAAAAACCCGGATGACAGTAAAATCGTCGAAAATCAAAAAAGCCGAAAAATAGATGAAAGTTACTAGCCCGGGCGATTTTTGAAAATTCAGTTTGTAAGATTACAGTACTTTAAAGACGCAAAACGCAGAACTTTGAAAGGTTTCGCTACGAAATGATGAAAAAATGTCTGAAATATATTCCGTATACGGAGAAATGTGTGCGGAAATCGAGAAAAAAAATCGCTTCTATTATTCTTGTCCGGTGCCGATGAACCTTGTGTTCGAAAATTTATTTAAAGGCGCATAGCTGGGCCTGAAGAGGAAACGGGTATGGTTTTTATAAATAAAATCGTACGCCTTTAATACAGTACTTCGAAATTATTTTATTTTGACCCATTTTAGACAGTTTTTTCTACTTTATAAGGAAATTCAGCTGATTATTCATGAGAAGCTGAAAAATTGGTGCGGAAACAAGCAAAAAATATTGGGGAAATGGGAACAAATTCAATAATTCCGAAGTACTGTATTAAAAGCGCATGAAGTTATTTGTAAAAACCGTAGCCGTTTCCTCATCCAGACAGGCTATGCGCCTTTAAACAAATTTTCAGCCACAAGATTCATCGGTGCCAAACAGTAATTTTTTTTGCCAAATCAATTTCCTTTTTTTAGAGTTGAATTCTTCAACTTGTGATTATTGAGTCGTTAGGAAACTGTTCTGGTCCCAATTTCAGCATGAAATAAGCCACTGAAACGCCGGATGCATTATTTATTACAGAAAATGTGGTTTAGGACATGAAAAATAATGAACGAAAAGACAATTTAAGCGTCGCTCATTTCGACAGCCGAAACAGCTGGCGCCGCTTCCTCTTTCTCTCCTTCAGAAGCCGCGACGACAACGTCCATCGAAGATTCAACTGGTGAAGCTCCCAGAACTTCCTTGCATGAGCATTTACGAGCGAAAAGGAACTGTTTGATGAGATGGGAAATTCTTCCAGCTTCCAACTCATCACCAACCGCGTACGCGTCAGTGACAACCTTCAGAAGGGCTTCTTGTGCTTCAGTACTTCTTTCGTTGAGCTGAAGTTTCTTATCAACGGCCAGCAGTTTTTGATTGATATCCTGGATTTGGTTATTGATGAATTCCACGTTAGAGAAGAGAGGGGAGCTGCTGAGTGTAGAGATCCAGTAGCTATTCCACAGAGCAGTTAGAATATGTGCGTCTGAAACAAGAGAAAAATAGTCATTCAGGGGCAGAAATGTGTAGAAACTCACCAAGTTGAGACTTGAAGAAGCTGACCTCCAATGGATAATACCGTTTACAATGAACTCCGAAGTCCTCAATTTTCGCCAACGGAATCGATTGATACTCGGATGGAACGTCATCTGGTGGACGATATCCTTCTGGATATGTGCGGAATGCACCGATGTCCACCTTTCCAGCTGACATGGTTCTCAATGGATCGATGACAATGGCCACCCATGGTTCCTGGAACTTTTGGTTCAGAGTCTGTGTGGAGACGTCGATTCCCGATAACCAGCATCCGTATCCTGGATGCGAGTGGTACCATCCGACGACCTTCTCCTGACGACCTTCTGTTTCGCACAAATCCGAGTAGACTGTCATGTACTCGTAGGCCTGGGCTTGAGCGTTGACTCTGAAATTTAAGATTTGTGGTTTTTAGATTTTTATTTCTGGGGAACCTGGTTTCAGTTCCCTCAACTGGAAGCGCGAAGACGTCGAGAATAATGAATGAGTTGGCGTCGATTCTGCCTTGCAAAAGACCCATAATTTCCAGACTTCCACCTCGCTTCGCATGCATCGTCATTTTGAGCAGAGCGATTGCCGAAATTTTAATTTGTTTGAAATAGTGTGGATCCTTATCCCATGGCTTTGCATTCCTAATCTCCAACTGCTGCTGATTGTTGTATTCAAAAATCGAGTCGACATTTTGAACCTGAAAATCGATAATTTTATTGGAAAATTGGCCGGAAAACGGGGGAACTGACATTATTTTCCTTCTCCCAGTTTCGCTGAGGCACGGATCCCGACGGTTTGACGTTGTCTATTTCCATTTTGCTGAAAATTGAAATTTGTGAAATTTGGACACATTTTACAATGAGAAAAAAGACGAAAAACACAGAGGAATCGATGAAAACCGAACAGTGTCACCATTTTTGTCGCAAAAAACTATCAAACGCCACTCCGAAAAGACGGGTGCGCGCGGTTTAGCGTAAATCTACACAGGAATTTTGCGCGGGTGTTTGAATAAGGTTTTTGCAGATGTCTGTGAAATAATGGATTTTTATGGGGAATATTTGATTCTCTGAGAGAAGGTGAAGGTGAAAATATTCTATAAAGACATTCGTCTTTTCAGACAGCAATTTTTCAATAGTTTTTGAAAATGTGCTTAAACGGCCAGTTCAGAAGTACTGTATTTACAGAAATTGACAAAACCGTAAGAAAAAGAAAGAAAAGAACCGGGAGAAGAAGAATGACGAAAGACTGACAATGAGACAAAGGAAATCTATGGTTCGCAGTATGTAAATTCAAATTTTCCGCCCTTTCCCCTAACCCAATAATCTGCGTCTCTTCTAGTGGAGAGTCACCCAGAGAGACCCGACGGAGGCAGCAGTACTCACTTGTGACACATACACACACTATATAGATATTATTGATTCTTGCGAAATTTAGTCCCCAAAAGCAAAAGAATCAAAAATGTCAGCTCCACCAAACCATCCAAACGATATGGACTCCCTTGCTGAATCTCTGAAGAACATCGAAATCAGCTGCATGCCCGTTCAACAAAGGTTTGTGTTTTCCAGATTTTTTTCCGGAATTTTTTTCATAATAATTTTTCTCGCGCTTTTTCGGATGAAATGTAGGCACTCAGCAGTTCAATTTAAAGCTTTCGTGTCGAGACCAACGCAGTTCCACTGTAGTAACGCACTTACAAGATGTTCCGAAAAAACACCTCATTTCAAGTTCTTTCCTCACTATTAATTATCATTGTTCAGAGTTAACTTGGGCGAGCAGGACCCAAACTTCCGCCGAGAGGAACGTCTGGTTCCATATGAGATCCAAGTGTGCCACGTGGATTACAGAGACTTTTTCATTCAAGTCAACATCGATAAACACTCATTCGTGTTGAAGCAGACTCTAGATGGCAATGTCCAAGTTAGAGTTTCTGATGGAGCTGGACAAATTCAAACGTTCCCAATGCCAATTGGAATGTCGATGGATGAATCATTGAAGAAAATCACGGATTACTTCTTGGGAAGACCAGGAACCATCATTCATCAACTATTGATTTCTTCGGAAGACGTCCTGGAGAAGTGCATTGTTCCAGAAGTTATTCAAACCAGATACATCTGCTACGATGGCCGGAATCTGGACAAAGCTCTTCGGGTCAAATGCAAGGAGACGTTTGTCTTTGCGAAATGCTTCAGAGTTGAAATGATTCGGTCTGTGTTTGAGGTACTTGTTGCTTTGAAAAGAGTTACATGAATTTAATCTTTTCAGCAAGTTAAATCTCTCAACTACACTGCTGGCATGGCAATTGAAATCGGAACCGGTGGAATCGAGCAAAAGATCTTCCCTCGAGCACTGGAGACTCTTCAAGACCTCCAACCAAAGCTCGGAGTTCAACCAAAACATCAATGCTACGATGGCGAATGCGATCGACCAGCCATCGAGCATGCCACACATCTTCAATGCCTCGTTTTCGACATCGAGGATAAGGATTTGGAGATGATTGTCTGCTTGCCAGACTTTGTTCGAATCTTCGGTGCTGAGGATCAGGGATTGAACCATGTGGTTCGGTTCAGAGTGGAGCCAAAGGGAACAGCTGCACGTTGTGATGCAGAGAACTGGCTCAGCGTTTTCGATGTCGACGGATTCGAGTCTTATGTCAATATGGCAAATTAATCTAACTTTTGAAGTCTGTTCATATGTATTTACCAAAGAAATCTCACATTTTATCTCATTCCATGTATATTTTGTTGGTTAGTCATGTATCATAACTTTGCATGTATATATTCTGGGAAATCAGTCATTAATAAATAAACGGAGCCATATTGTCCGAAAGTTTAAATGAGAAGTATTACTCATCCAAAATAATATGAATAAGAGAACACAAAAACAATATTCAGTAAAAGGTTGAAATCAATTATGAAGAAGATGAAACTGTAAACAGTTATAAAAATCCAAATTAGACTGAAGAACCAAGCAAACGTCTTCTTCGATGAATAGGATGCTCCCACTGGTTGGTAGCAGTGGTAGAGCTAGTCGATCACAAGGCAATGTCGTTCAGTAAGCTCTTCAGAATATTCTCTTGAAAAATGTTTGTCTTGTTTGAAATCAGCAATATTTCATTAGTTGCCAAGTTTTTGATAGCTCGAAAAGGAAACGAAATAATTAGGGGGAAAAATAGCAAAAAAGTGTAAAAAAATCTACATGAATTGGTATAGAAATCTTGATGCCCCATTGACCTCAGAAAAAGTACTATAAAGGAAGCGAAAAGTGGAGGAACAAATCAGTTCTCGCATTCTATGGGCTCGAGAGAAGGGACCTGAGAAAGGAGCCGGAGCTGGGTCCTGGGTCCTGGGTCCTGGGTCCTGGGTCCTGGGTCCTGGGTCCTGGGCAAGAAAAACCGTTTCAGAGTGCTATAATAAATAATTGTAAGCTGAACAACTTATCCAAGCGTCTTCACCACAGCCCGAGACTCACGGAAAACACTATAATTTAGCCGGACCACACTAACGATATCGGACAAGATCATTTTTCCAGTTCCTCTAGAAACCCAATCTTGTTGATCTCTCGCGCCATTTGCACTCTATTTCATCCTCACTCAATTCCTCGTATTTTGAGTATTTTGACACCAAAGTCCATTCAATGAATATCCCCTTAACTAGTTAGCTTACATCATAGAGTCTCCTTATTTAAAACGAATTTCTCACTCGACCATCAAACCAAAAATGCTTCTATATCTCGAACTAATCTTTAAAATCATCCATACCGTATGTTTCTTAATTGGCTGCTTCTTTAATTTATTTCTCTGCTACGTGGCAATATTCCATAGTCCGTTTATTATAAAAACCTATTCTGTCATTGTCCTAAATGTGGCTCTTACAAATCTCGGAGGTCTAGTTTGTGATTTTTTGTTGCAACAGAGAATGATACCATCTGGATTCAACTTATTCTATATCTCATATGGACCATGTGTGAAAGCTGGACCGGAACTGTGTTTTGATATGTAAGGATCATTTTAAAAGTTGCCTAAGAGTGTGTTCTAGAACATTTCAGCTATGGAATAATGCTCCATTTTTATTCGCATTCTCTTTGGCTTCTCTTCCTTGCTTTCGCCTATCGTTACTATGTAATGCACCGCAATGAGCCAAGTAGATGGAGCCTTCAATTAACTATTTTTCTGGTTTATATTCCATCATTCATAATGATGACAGCCTTGCTTTTGGATCATGCTGATCCTTCAATAGTTCGAAAAATGCTGAAATCGCGACTCCCAGAATATAAATTATCTGGTCTAGTGATCACTGGTTCGGTGGATAGTACACAATTTGCTGCGATGTTCGCAATCATTCATATGACTGTGTTGAGTACTCCTATAACCATTGGGATTTGGATTTTAAGGAGAATAATAATTCAAAAATTGACATATAAAGGGGTAGATTTGACTAGAAAAACGAAGAATCTGCATGCACAATTGTTGAAGGTAAGTAGACGAATTCTTGCTGTTTCAGGATGTTTTATAAACAAGTAATGAACCCATATAGTTAGTTAGTTATCACGACGTGTTAGACCAATAAAAATATTTAGCATTCGGTCCAAAATAGTCAAATGGTGTCAATAAAGTAAATCGAAGTTAAAAGTTACAAAATTCGATTAAACAAGTTTTCGAACTTTTGTTCAAATGTTTGAACTATAAAAAATAGTGGCCTAGAAAACTCAACTCGCAAAAGTTAGGCCGTCATGTGGAAATGACTTAGAAAGTATACCATGTAAATATCCGGACATTTTCTGGTAATTCAAGTTGGTGACCTAGAAGACTCAATTTGCGAATTTCATGCCACCTTTTAAATTATGTAACAAACCCCACTCACTGTTTTAACCTCTCAAATCAACTAATAATATTTTAAGGCTCTCACTCTGCAAGCCACAATTCCTGTTTTCTATCTTCTCGGTGTCATTTTCTACTTCATTGGACAATTTGGAATGTGGTCCCATCCCATCATCGAATTCTCAATTTTCACATCTTTCCTAATTGTTCCCATTTTAACCCCAGTATCATCTTTAATTTATGTCAGCCCGTATAAGCGATTTGTGTTGAAAAAAGGTGAATGGAAAAGATTCGAAATCTAAAATCCATACCAGTTCTGTTATCACTTTGGGTGTATGACACCTTGACTGATTTTTCTTATTTCGGTCTGATCTCAAAAGTTTCTAGAAATTTCTAGGGTATTCTTATGATATTCTGTACCCTAGTTGTCTAGTTTGTAGCCTGATTGCTTCATAATCCTTTGAATACCCACCAATCAAGCATTTTGTATAAAACCTTTTTGCAAGCAAAGCCTTACTCTAAAAATGCTAGAATTGCTTACTACGATATTCCTGATTCTTAATTCTACTGTCACTATCATTGGATGCCTTGTGAACCTTTTTCTCCTTCACATTGTACTTTTTCACAGTCCAAAAATCATAAAAACGTTTTCAATCGTGATCATAAACTTGGCTTTAACAAATATCGGTGCTTGTTTGAGCGGATTTTCAATAGGTCAACGAATTATTCCATCCGGGAAACGATTATTTTATATTTCCTATGGTCTATGTTCATGGATCGGAGAACAATTTTGTTTTGATGTGTAGGCTGAAAGAATGAGAAAAAATTAAAACCTTTTCTGATAATTTTTACAGATTTGGAGCCCTTCTTCATTTTCACACCCATGCTCTTTGGCTAATTTTTGTCAGTTTTGCCTATCGTTACTATGTTATGTTGAGGAATGAGCCTAGCAGATTGGCTCTTCAATTATCCATTCTGCTTATTTATATTCCTTCTCTAGTCCAACTCCTTGCAATGTTTTTCCAGAATTTGAGAATTGAGGAAATTCGGAATCTATTAAATGCAGCGTATCCTGAATACAACTTGACTGGATTAACTGTAACTGGAGCTGTGAAAACTCTAGAATTTGCTCCATTGTACACTTTGATTCATATGACAGTGGTTAGCACACCAATTACAATTGGAATTCAGATTTTCAAGAGGAGAATAATAAAATTATTGACAACAAGAGGTGTGGATCTATCATCGAAGACGAGGAATTTACATGCGCAGTTGTTGAGGGTGAGAAATGACAATAAAGTTTGTGTTTTTACATGAATCACAAAAATGGAAAAATTAGAGAAACTACCATACCGGCCAACCTTTTTTTAATTCCACCTATATCTACAGCTGAAAACAGGAAACTTTAGATGCAGAAAAATATTATTACTTCCGTTGGTTAAGACTGAAAATGTCCAGGTCTACTGAACAAAAATAGAGCTTCAATTTTTTAGTTGGCAACTTTTTCGTACAAATTCATCCTAATGAGATATACGGCTTGAAACCAACCAAGTGAAAACACTTCCAAAAATAGCACTGAGTTCAGAGTCGAGAAAATTTTAAGCGGTTTATCTTATTTGGGTAAATTTGTACAAAAAAGTCGTCAACTACAATAATGAAGCTCTATTTTTGTTTAGTAGACCTTTAAATTTTCAGTCTCATCTAACAAACCACCTTACGTTTTTTTTAATTTTCAAAATTGGCCGTTTTCGACTAAAAAAGTAAAAGTTAAGAATCTTTTAGGAGTTGGTGTATTTTGAAAATTAAAATTTAAAAACCTCTTCCGAGTTTTGTTTCCAAAATATTAATTTATCTATATTTTTCAGACCCTAACCTTCCAATCCACCGTACCCTTGATCTACATTTTTGGAGTTTTTTGCTTCGTACTATCCCATTTTTGGAGTCATCCAATTCTTGAATATTTTACTGTGATTCCCCCATTAGTTGTTCCTATTCTAACCCCATTTTCTTGTATTTTCTATGTCACTCCATACCGATATTACGTTTTTTGTTTGATTTCACAAAAACTTCACCCCAAAAATTCCATTCATACTGTGTCTGCGGTTTTTGTGGATTGAATGATAGAATTCAAAGTCTGCGTACCAAAAAATGAAAAAAGTTATTCCGAAACTGCAACTTTATTTTTCAACATGACGTAGTTAAATCTCTAGTAAGACATACTTACCTGACTTTTTGAAAACGGCACTTCCGTGTGAAAAAAAAGAGAGCTCTAATGGTTTTTGAACTATTCATCTCTCTTCCTCTTTCCGATAGACCAAAGTTTTGCTTTGATTAATAATATTTTTCAGAAGCACTGAGTCGGAAACGTCTCTAAAGTTTGAACCCATGATATGACTACATGATATTTTACATTCCTTTCTACATACTTCTCGTCATCTAATTTTTCTTTCCCAATTTTATAAAATGTCCGCTACCACAATATCTTTCATTATAATCAACACAATTGGCACTGGTCTCGGTACTTTTGTGAACCTATTTCTCTGTTATGTGGCAGTTTTTCACAGTCCTCCAATTATCAAAACGTACTCAATTTTGATTATCAATACAACTCTTACAAATATTGGAGTTTGTGTTACTGGCTTTTTGTTGCAAGAAAGAATAATACAGGCTCGATTTTCTTTGTTTTACATCTCCTACGGTCCTTGTACATTGATAGGAGAGCGATTTTGCTTTAATGTGTAAGTTTTAAAAAACCCTTTTCAAGTTAAAGGGAAACCTGCAATAGATAAGCTAATTGTTAACTTTGAGCCAAACTTTGAGCCAACGGTTCCTGTCCAAAATACAGAAAAGTTGTCAACGGATAAATTGTTAATCTTAATATCATAAGTGTTTTGTCAATTGACACATTTTTGATATTTTGCATAGGAATTTAGATAGTTGAGCTCAAACTTGACTCTGTATTTCATGTTTCAGATTCGGTGCCTACCTCCATTTTCACACGTACGCTCTTTGGCTAATTTTTCTCTCTTTTGCCTATCGGTTTTACGTCATGATTCAAAAAGAGCCCAGCCGTCGGGCACTCCAATTTTCCATTTTCCTTGTTTACATTCCTTCCATGACCCAATTCCTCGCGATGATCTTCCAAGAAATGGATTTGATCGAAGTTCGAGAATCTCTAAGTTCTAAATTCCCTCAGTACAATTTGGCTGGATTAACCGTAACTGGAGCAGTCGACATTATCACTTTTGCACCGTTATATACCCTTATCCATATGACAGTTATCAGTATTCCATTGGCAATTGGAATTCAGATTTTGAGAAGAAAAATTATATCTGTTTTGGTTTTGAAAGGAGTGGACTTGACAACCAGGTCAAGAAATTTACATGCTCAGTTGTTAAAGGTGAGTTTCCTTTTTTTTGTTTTCAAAATATTATTTTTACTTTTTCATGAAAGATCAGCAGACCGGAAAAAAGTACTTTCTAGTCAGTGATCAAACAAGACATTGATCAAAAATCATGTTTCTAGAGTACATTAACAAACGAAATTTTCCAGACACTAACATTCCAAGCCACAGTCCCATTGATCTACTTTCTCGACGTCTTCCTTTTTTTCCTCACGCACATCTGCAATCATCCGATTCTCGAGTTTTCCATTATCATTCCTTCTTTATTTGTTCCAATTTTGACCCCATTATCCTCACTCTATTATGTGACCCCATATAGAAATTTCGTTCGAAAATTGCTTATTCGTGTGAGGCCTAAACTTCAAACAGTCGGTTCCAGGAGTATTCTTCAAGTGACTTCTTTAGTTGATTAAAACAATTTTATTTCTCAATTTCATTGAGTTTCAGAAACATTCACATTTGAATAAAATACCTTTATGTCAGAGTTCAAAAGTCTTCTGAAAGTTTAACGTTATTATGGGCTCCGAGATTTTAAAAACATAAAGAAACACGTCTATCTTCAAATATTTTCTTTAATTCAAATTCAGACAAATTTCAGACAAGACAGACAAAATTCTGAATTTTTTCCATATTTCTTTGAGTCTGAATTTCAGACGAAATATAACTTCTGGTCTACAACGAAAGTAAAGAACCTGCATGCGGAGGACTCGGAGAATTTGACGGCTTCAAGGCGGAGAAGGCAGATGTTGTGTTTTGTTTCTTTCTGTGGTTATTAGAATAACAGAACAGTGTTTGAATTTATATCATTTTTATTATTAGAAACGATGACTTAAAAAACAGTAAACAAAGAAAACAGTTAACGGTACTTGTGTTGGAAACGTCCTCTCTTGGCTTTTGGCTGTTCCGACTCCTCCCACGATCCACTTCTTTTTGCTTTCTGAGCTTCAGCGATTCTTTGGTTTCTAGCCTCCATTAACATCTGTTTGACACTTTTCACTCCTTCTTCTGCTTTCTTTTCCGCCTCTTTCTTCACTTCACGTCGTGCCATCATCATTCTCTCCATTCGATCGTTCTCGGCTTTCTTCAGTTCAGGTGATGTTTTTGTTGGAGCGGAAATTGGAATATTCTTGGAGTTGGAGGAAGAATTGGTCAGCATTCCTTTCGATTTCGGAACAAACTTGGCTGGATTCGTTCTCTTGGAGGCAATGAGTCCCATTAGTTCGACGTTTGAAGGTGGCGAATTGGATGAAGTTCTCTTCGATTTGGATACAAGATCAGTTCTTCTTGGAATCATGGTGTTATGAGATACAGAAGGCGTGACTCGACGTACGAAATGCATTTCAGGTTGAACAAATGTTGGATGTACGGATGGAAGACGAGAAGACGATCCAATCATATTTTGAGAACTCTTCGGCTTGGAAGTCTGTTCGGTTGAACTTCTAGAAGAGCCACTAGACGACGATGATGTCGAGTCGTCACTCAAAGCACGCTTACGGCTCTTCACATTCTCTTTCATTGATTCCTTCTGCTCCATACTGTTGATCTTTCCAATCACTCTTCTCGCCAGACTTCCGACTTGTGGACAATGGATGTATTTGGTGACCAACTCCTTGATCTTCTCCTTCTTCAGCATTGACAGTGGATAGTTTTGTTCCAGAAGAGTCTGGAGACAGGAAGGCACTGTATTGAGAGCAGAGTCCAGATCGTAGGCGATGACTGCCACTTGATCACACATATCGTTGTCGGTGAAAGACATATTGATGAGTTGTTTTTGAGTTTTAGGGATCTGGAAAAAGTGAAATGGGAAATGCAAATTAGAAGAAGGTGAAGAGAGAAGAAAATTAGGAATTTCTAGGAAAATTTCTAGGAACACTACTGTAAAATAAAAAAACATTAGAGAATATCCTGAAGAAGTTTTGTCAAAAAAATCGATTGAATCAAAAAGTACTGAATAAAAGGAAATGGGAGAGAATTGAGAGGGCCGGATGAGAATGAGGGGTGAATGACTAATTATCCAAAATATTCCTTACGTTAGGTAAGGGGCGGGGCTTAGCTACCCATAAGTCTCCGCCCCCTTTTGAGGAAAATATGGTCCCTGGGAAAAGTGAGAGAGATGGTATGGGAAAAAGAGAGTGAGAATGGGTCAACGGCGATATGGAGAGGTGTATGATAAGATAAATCAAAAGCTGTGAAGATAGGGGATTCAGCTATGGGAGATTTTGGATTTTTTAATATAATACTGGTAAAAAGTGAGGTTAAGAATCTTATATTCACTGAGTCTTGAGATGTTTAGGGTTACTTAAGGTCTGGATTTTCAAAAGTACAGTAATGAAATTATGAGCTTCTGAGATCGTAAAATCTTAACAGTAGACTACAAAGGCAACGCCTGAAACTTGAAAAAATTACAAAAAAAAACTCTAAATGATGTTCAAAAGAGTTTGAAAATAACTTTTATTGACTTCAGAGTTCGAATTTAGAAGTTCTAACAGCTGGGGACCGATTATTCGAAGCTTACAAACTACTTTTTTTTCAGAATTTTTTAGTCTTTGGATTTTGAGTTTCTAGGAATCCAATGACTTTAGAATCCCGTTTGAAAATATTTGAGAAAACTATCGGGACCCTATTTAGGATTTTACGTTACTGGAAATGACTGTAAGAAATCTTCATTTTATGAAGTACCCATTTTTCCAACGATATTGCATAATAAAAATTTACGACTGTAGGTTGTTATGGTTAGGGCACATAATAAGAAGACTGTACTGATTCATGTATGGTTATCACGGGTGTTTTTTGAAATTTTAATCAGGGTATCTACAGTACACTTTGTAATCTTGAAATCCCTCGTCCTTCCCAATCTCCGGACATTACACTCCCAGTGTCCAGAATACTCATCTGCACCTAGTCTTAAAAACCAGCAATTATAGAGTACATACGTAATCAAAGGAACTGTCAATGCTACCATCTGCTTTTGGCTTTACCTCATGCCAATGTTCAGACGGATTGTGACGAGAATGTAGATAGGGATGTGCTCTTGGGAAAGTATATAACAGTTTCATTTTGATTGTTAGGCAAGTCCTCTCTACCCTATGCCCTATTTCCCAGAAGCACATCATTCTCATCATATTCCGTCTGAACATTGGTATGAGGTGAAGCTAAAATCAGATGGTAGCATTGACTGTTCCTTTGATTACGTATGTACTCTATAATTGCTGTATGGTTCTTAAGTCTAGGCCAGGCCTGTGCGGCAACACATTGCCGATTGCCGAAATTGCCGAATTTTTTGTTGCCGATTTGCCGTTACCGAAATCGGCAACGAAGAAAAAGTTGCCGAATTGCCGTTGCCGATTTCGGCGATTTCGGCAACAGAAAGTTTTTCTGAATGTAGAAGTTTTCACAATTTTTTCAGTCAAAAAAATGATTTCGAAGTTCGAAAAACCTAATTATGAACACCATTATCTCTCAGAGTGAAGTCACAACTCATCTAAAAATTATCCGATCTGTCTCAAATCTCTAGAGAACTTGTGTCGTCAGTTGTCTAACAAGTTGAGTGCACTATTTTCAAAACTCTCAATCAGAACAAATATTTCAAACATTGTAATATTGCTAAAGAGAAGTAGTTAGCATAATAAATGTGGTCTTGAGGTGCCAATTTTTGTGATTACTTTGTTAGGGAACTCATTACACACCTTTTCTGTAGTTTTGAGCCTAAGCGGAGCATTTTCAGGTGAGTTACGTATCGATTTTACTGAATTAAAGACGCAAAACTTTTGTTGCCGAAAATTGCAGAAATGTTTTTTCGGCAGTTGCCGAACGTTGTCGAAAAGCATTCGGCAAATTGCCGAAAAATTTTTGTTGCCGCACAGGCCTGGTCTAGGTGCAGATGAGTATTCTGGGCACTGGGAGTTTGATGGCCGGAGATTGGGAAGGATGAGGGATTTCAAAGTTAGAAAGTGTACTGTAGATACTTTGTTTGTAATGTCCAAAAACACTCATTGTAACCATGAATAAATCAATACAGTCTTCTTATTATGTGCCCTAACCATAACAACCAACAGTCGTAAACTTTTATTTATACGATATCGATAGAAGAAAAAACACAACCGGCTGCTGTATTCTGGATAGAGTATTTCCTAATAGTTTCTGGGTAGCTAAACAAATTTTCGAAAGAACGGACTGATTAGTCCACGGCAACCTGCCTACGGCCTGAATCACGGCCGCCGTCCGAGGCTGCAATTTACGTAGCATTACTATGAGATAAGTCAGCATTGTAATACTGATTATGAGGATTTCAAAGAATCCTCTGAAATTACCTTAAATGGTTTACTCAACAATCGAGTATCTCCAAACTGGAGAAATCTGAAAATGAGAATTTGGAAACTTCAAATGATCAGTCTCATGTTCTGCAAGCTGTTAGAGTTTTAAAATTCTGAAGATGTTCATTTCTTTCAAACTTTAATTATTGTAGTTTTTCGAGTTTCAGGTTTTTGTGGTTTTTCATTTCCCTTTTCAGGTTTTGTATTCATGGATTAGGTTTTAGGATCCCACAATCTTAAAATTTCATTTCTGTATTTTCGACAATCAAGTCCTACAGTAACTCTAAACATCTCAAGACTCAACGTTCTAATATTATTTCCAACCTTACTTTTTAGCTGTATCATATCTAAAAATTACCGATAACTGGACCCCCTATAGCTTCTGATTGTGAGTTATCTTATCATTTCCCTCTCCCTACGCCGCTTGACTCATTCTCACTCTCCTTTTCCCATACCATCACTCGCTCACTTTTCCCAGGGACCATCTTTTTCTCAAAAGGGGCAGAGACTTATGGGTAGCTAAGCCTCGCCCCTTACCTAACGTAAGGAATATTTTTGGGTAATTAGTCATTCACTCCTCCGGTTCACATTCGGTTCTCTCTTCCGGTTCTCTCCTATTTTCTTTTGTTCAGTACTTTTTGATTCAATCGATTTTTGACAAATTTCCTCAGGATGTTCTCTAATGTTTTCCTCTTTTACAGTAGTGTTTCTAGAAATTCGAAAACAATTCTTTCCATGTTCGTTTTTAAATTTCAACATAACTCCAACAGTACCGTTTAATCTTTCCTCCTTTCACCTTCTTCTAATTTGCATTTCCCATTTCACTTTTTCCAGATCCCTAAAACTCAAAAACAACTCATCAATATGTCTTTCACCGACAACGATATGTGTGATCAAGTGGCAGTCATCGCCTACGATCTGGACTCTGCTCTCAATACAGTGCCTTCCTGTCTCCAGACTCTTCTGGAACAAAACTATCCACTGTCAATGCTGAAGAAGGAGAAGATCAAGGAGTTGGTCACCAAATACATCCATTGTCCACAAGTCGGAAGTCTGGCGAGAAGAGTGATTGGAAAGATCAACAGTATGGAGCAGAAGGAATCAATGAAAGAGAATGTGAAGAGCCGTAAGCGTGCTTTGAGTGACGACTCGACATCATCGTCGTCTAGTGGCTCTTCTAGAAGTTCAACCGAACAGACTTCCAAGCCGAAGAGTTCTCAAAATATGATTGGATCGTCTTCTCGTCTTCCATCCGTACATCCAACATTTGTTCAACCTGAAATGCATTTCGTACGTCGAGTCACGCCTTCTGAATCTCATAACACCATTATTCCAAGAAGAACTGATCTTGTATCCAAATCGAAGAGAACTTCATCTAATTCGCCACCTTCAAACGACGAACTAATGGGACTCATTGCCTCCAAGAGAACGAATCCAGCCAAGTTTGTTCCGAAATCGAAAGGATTGCTGACCAATTCTTCCTCCAACTCCAAGAATATTCCAATTTCCGCTCCAACAAAAACATCACCTGAACTGAAGAAAGCCGAGAACGATCGAATGGAGAGAATGATGATGGCACGACGTGAAGTGAAGAAAGAGGCCGAAAAGAAAGCAGAAGAAGGAGTGAAAAGTGTCAAACAGATGTTAATGGAGGCTAGAAACCAAAGAATCGCTGAAGCTCAGAAAGCAAAAAGAAGTGGATCGTGGGAGGAGTCGGAACAGCCAAAAGCCAAGAGAGGACGTTTCCAACACAAGTACCGTTAACTGTTTTCTTTGTTTACTGTTTTTTAAGTCATCGTTTCTAATAATAAAAATGATATAAATTCAACCACTGTTTTGTTATTCGAAAAACCAAAGAAAAAACAGTATGTTTTCTATTATATCGATAGACCCAAACTTTGACACGTTTTCCCCACGTCTGGACTACTTTAAAATCTGTTCAAAAACTGATTCAAGCAGTTCAAAAAAGTCTGAAATCTTTCTAGAGATTTCTCTGTACAGGAGACAAATGAGCAATTTAGTTTTGGCTGTGGCATTGTGCCTTCTGGTTTGTGCTTACGGACAAATAGACCGGGATAACCGTTTCCAGCAAATGTGCGAATTTCGGAACGGCAAAGATTACAAGCCCCGGGAAAATGGATACGAGGTAAATGACAGATAATGGGTCTAGAGATAATGGGTCTAGAAAATTGAAATGAGGCTTGAATGTCGGTTTCTCTTCCTTCTCCGGTTTCTCTCCCTTCCCTGATTCACACACACTCACGTGGTGACGAAGTCGGCACCGTTGACAACAATTTTTTGCCTTGCATTGCTGGGCCGCATTTCCCTGGCGTAGACAGTTGCTACACATCCTCAGCTCCTGATATCGATTGATGCGATCTTTTTGAGTGGGGTAGCGGGTACAGCATACTGCAGCATGAGAGCCGGAGCATAACCGGCAACCAGACGGAAAGAGTCGAGATCTCTTTGGCCATCGTCCACTGATCATAACTCTGCCACGATTCAGAGACGATCCATGACTATTTGGTTCCGTGATTCTTGAGCCGATTGCTCGTGATGGTGTAAACTGAGGAGCCACTTGCTCCGATGGGTTGCCCGCATCCTCCGGCGGAGCGGTAACCCGCGGATGAATTGGACGAATTTCCAGCTCTAATTCCTTAATCCTTTTTTTCATAGCATCAATCGCTGTTTTGTGCCTCCAGGACCAACTTATCCATCCGAATCTCGCCCAATTCGATTTCGAGAAGCTCCTTCTCACGTTTGAGCTTATCATATTTCTTGTGCCAATCGATTGTATCAGCTGAATAGAAATCATTAATGAAGGATTCCAATAATCTCTGTTCATAGTTGTTAGAAATCTTATATTGCTCACAATCCCGGATGTTCTAAAGATTGAAAGCCGACTGCCTTTTTAGGGGAATTTAGTACAGGTCTGATAAGTTGCCACTATAAACCCTTATCAGACTGTTTTTTAGACCTATTCATCTAATATCGTCCAAACGACAAAACCAATAATCTTAGAGTTCTCTTTAACGACCTAGTGCCGTCGTCTAAGTCCTATTCTAATTTGGAGCAAATTCAAATATCACTAACGATCTCTCCAGTCCATCAGCTATGCCCTATGAACATTCGCACCTATTGTGCTGTCTTTGAATGTTAAAATACTACTTCTCCCTCAGTCTAACAATCTTCTGGTCACTTGGGTTTGTGTCAGATCTAGCGACTCTAGTCTCTGACGGTCGATGCACCATGTCGAGACGGCATTTGGGTAGTGAACCCCTGTCCGTCTCGAAAACCAGAGAACAGTTAAACAAAGAAAGAATAAGACATTTCATCACTCAAACTTTATTAAAACGAACTTTTAGAAGGACACGATTTGGCGGTTTCGTCGGCAGCTTGCTCCTTCGCCATCTTATATCTTTTGAATGGACGAGACGGCGGCTTTCTTGCAATATACAGAGAACTAATCTTGTTCCTTCACATAAACTTCACATCGACCGTTCCATGTAGCAAATACGATTCGTTATAAGATTTAGGTAACATAAGGAGACGGTCACGTAACTTGGAAATCCATACAAACTGTTTCCTTCAGATAGCTCGTAGAACAAAGCAAGAGATGTTGAATATTATTTTAGATATCCTCAGATAGGCTAGAGAGTTTCCACAGTTTGGAATTATTCTTACAACTTAAGATGTGCTTATAATTAAAGAATACAATAATGCCAATAGCATAAAGTTGTGGAAGTAATGTACGATACATTCCTTCCACAACAGAGCCTATCATCGAACGGTTATTCAATCAATATTTTTCTTCCAGCCGTGCTGGCGAAATGGGACTAGAAACAATGTCCGATGCTCGATATGGTCCACTATACTGTCAGTCAGGTTCAGATATGTACAAATATGGTGATTGCCCGGATGGATTTTCTGAATACTACCGAAAAAAACAAGGACAAATATGGTGCCGCAAATTTTTCTGAGAATTAATTACTGTTAAAAAAAAAACTACGGCGATGCTCAAGAAGAGTGCCAGAAGTACCAGTTCAGATTCAGTGCCAGTTCAGATTTTAACTGATGGTTTCAATGATTTTTCAGCAATCCTTGTACGAACCAAAACAATTCGAATGGGGACGTCATCGTCATGCCGAATTGATTAAAAATGAATGCGGATCTAAATGTGAATTGATTGACTACGTGGATGCATTCTGGAACAAAACAATGAACCAATTCCAGTATTTCGATTCGAATGGATTTTCTTATTTCACAACTGGTGCTCATTTATCGGCTCATGGACTGGAATATGTTCGACCTATTTATACCGACATTTGTGCTCGTTTATAGTTTTTTTTAAATATTTAAGTTTCGTTGTCGTCGATAAGTAAATTTTTTTTCATTTTTCCGTACAAGAAAAAAAAATACAAACTTTAAAAAATAAAATGTTTGATTTTTTGTCATTTGTTTCTCGAAAAACCTCATCAAATTTCGTCTAATAACAGTAATATTAGATTCCGGAAAGAATATCAGTGCTCTTTTGAATTCCTTACGGATCCGTTATGGATGCGCGTACGGTTCGCTTACGATTGCTTTTGATCTGCGCGCGAATGGTGGATCATTCGTAACCAATAGTTTGAGAATGACCTATGATTAGAAAAAAAAGAACTTTTTGGCTATGATCTCGAATTTCACTTTCTCCGTGGATTGCCAGAATAAACCATCTCTTTCAGGCTATTTCCGTTCTTTTCTTCTTCAAGCCCATTGAATTCATTTAGCGCTGTCCAAGATCTTCAAATCTCATAGCATTTTCCGCTTATACAATGAAAAAAACTATGAGAGAAAGCTATTGGAATAATCTAAAGGAGTGGTCACTTTCAAAACTGGAAAAAACGACTGAAAAAATGAATGGGGGGGGGGGGAATTCGATATAAGATCCTCGAACTTCACAGAGGTGTTCATTTATTCAAAACATTCCTTCAAAAAACAAAGTATCAATATGACATCTTCAACCCAAAATAACTCAAAACGAGAAGATTTGCAAGGTCTTCGAGGTTTGGCTATAATGGCAGTTCTTGCCTTTCATTTTTATCCAAATCAATTTCCGAATGGATATTTAGGAGTCGATCAGTAGGTTTCAAATTAATTGTTTTTTGAATGTTCTTTAATTTCAGATTTTTTGTTTTGTCTGGTTTTCTGATGTGTATGCTGCTCAAAAAATCTCAAGAATTACCGATATTTTCCTTCTTCACTCAATTCTACATTCGTCGTTTCAAACGAATACTTCCCTTGTATTTTCAATTTATTCTATGTACAGTCATTGCTCTCTATACTATTTTTCCAACCGCTGCAATTCTTCAAAATAAGATGTCTGCTGGAAAAGCATTGATATTTTTATCAAATAGATCTCCAACGGCAAATGAGGACTATTTCAAAAAAGTGTGTTTTTGAAATAACTTCTTCTTAGTTCATTCACATTTTCAAAAAAATTTTACAGCTCTCTATAGCATTGGATCTCTTCACCCATACTTGGTCTCTATCAGTAGAAGTTCAGTTTTACCTCCTTGTTCCATTTATATTCCTCATTGGTCGTCTATTCAGAAACTCATATAGAGAGATATATTATGCAGCAATAGGTGAGTGTACATCGGTCAGCTTGGAAATACAAAAACTGACTAAACTTCGGCAAACGTATGCTGAGATTCTGTACTAGTAGTGTTTTAACTTACAACCACTTCCGATCATAATCTGGTCATGACCCGCTACACAGCCGTTTTTGGGTAAGTTCCGACCAGAATCTAGCCAAATTCAAGAGCCGAACTCCTTCAACTTTTGACAAGAAGTTACAAACCGAGGTCGAGATTTTAATTGTCTGAAAATTTTGAAATTTGCAGCTATTTTGTCATTTGGCTATCATTTCTATTCTCCAACTTCCGTTGCTTTCAACAGTGTTATTGCAAGAATCTGGCAGTTTTCAATTGGAATGATATCATATTTTATTGTCGATAACCGCAAAGATAACACAATTCTCTATGAGCCGGAGACTATCATGATTTCTTTTAGTTTCTTCTTTCAGCGATCGAGTTTTAGTGATATGGCAACGCACTAACATATTGTTATAACGCCCATAAAACCTTTTGTAGTATTTTTCGAAATGCTGGTATCATGATTTCGATTGTTTAAAACATGACTCCATTCATTCTTTTTTAATGAAAACTTTCTTGAGAGTCAAAAACTCGTTGATTTGACAATCATGAAGTCAATTTTGTGAAAACTGTCCTATAATAAAGAAAAACAAAGATAAAAAACTCGAAACCCGGATCTCTTCTACCTGAACTTTCGTTTCGAATATAGTTTAAGCTTCTTCCGCCAATTAAAATGTTGTTGGAAATGTTAACAAATTTTCGGGAAGTCACAGGAGTCAATTCAGTATTATTATCGACCACTCAACAATGCCATAAATTATAAACTTCCAGTCCTTGCCGAGTATTTGATAAGACCTTCTTAGTACATTTACTTCAAACAGAACCTCTACTCATTCATTTTCGAAGCTTTATGTTCATTTTTACAATTTTTAGTACCTCCAATGCTGTAAAAAATATTGCGCTATACGACCACTGAACAACTCTGGTGCTTGCAAAAAATGACGATAATCAGAAATCAGAAAAACTCGAAACGAGATGATTTACAAGGCATTCGAGGCTTGGCTATTCTCTCGGTTCTTGGTTTTCATTTTTATCCCAGACAATTTCCAAATGGATATTTAGGAGTCGATCAGTGAGTTTCAATCGAAAATTCTTCGAATTTCTGATATTTCAGATTCTTTGTTTTATCGGGTTTCTTGATGTGTATGCTGCTCACAAAATCTAAAAAAACTAACGATATTTTTCTTTTTCACTCAATTCTACATTCGTCGATTCAAACGGATACTTCCCTTGTATTTTTTATTCATTTTATGTACAGTCATTAGTTCCTATAGAACTGAATCCGCTTGGAACAAATTTGGAGCGTTGTGGGCATGTTCTGGTCGGCGTTTGTTCAGATTCCGGATAAGACCGCTACTAAATCCGACCAAACTTTGATTACCAATATGACATCTTCCATACAAAATAACTCGAAGCGAAATGATTTGCAATGTATTCGAGGTTTGGCTATTCTCTCGGTTCTTGGTTTCCATTTTTTTTTCCAAATGGATATTTAGGAGTCGATCAGTGAGTTTCAAATTAATTGATTTATTTTTAAATTTTTAAATTTGAGGTTCTTTGTTTTATCGGGTTTTCTAATGTGTATGCTGCTCACAAAATCTCAAGAATTACCGATAATTTCCTTCTTCACCCAATTCTACATTCGTCGTTTAAAACGAATACTTCCCTTGTACTTTCTGTTTATTCTATGTACCGTCATTGCTCTCTACACAGTTTTTTCCGACCGCTGCAATTCTTCAAAAAAAAATGTCTGCTGAAAAAGCTGTAATATTCTTATCAAATAGATCTCCGACTGAAAATGAAAACTATTTCAAAAAAGTGAGTTTTGAATTAATTGTTCTTCTTATTTTTTAAATTCATTTGTATTCTTCTATCTTTTACAGCTCTCTATAGCATTGGAGCTCTTCACCCATACTTGGTCTTTATCAGTAGAAGTTCAGTTCTGCCTACTTGTTCCATTTATCTTTCTCATTGGTCGCCTATTCAAAACACCATTTAGAGAGATATATTTTGTAGCGATAGGTACGTGTGCACAACTTCTGGAGCGTTGTGGGCATGTTCTGGTCGGCGTTTGGTCAGATTCCGAAGACCGCTACTAAACCCGACCAAACTTTGATTAACTCCGGACAAGGTTCCAACGTAGTCGTATTTGATTTCCAATTTCCGACCAAAATCTGAACATGGGTCGCGTACATATATTTTTGGGCAAGTTCCGACCAGAACCTACTCAACATCCGTCCAAAGGCCGAACCCTCTCAACTTCTGACCAGACAAGAAGTTACAATTCGACCGCCGAGTTGGTTTAATGTAAGAGTTCTTATAGTACGTCAATTTGACATAAGCATAAATTGGCCAATGAACCAGATAAAGTGCATATGATATATCTCCGATGTAGATCAAAAATCGGGAGTTTAGAAGAATACTTTCCACATCGAATATAATTAAGCATTCAGTGAAACTGATAATCAATACTCTGGATCAATTTCAATACTTTCTAAACCTTTTTCTAATGACTTACTTTGTTCCAAGCGGATTCAGTTCTATAGGAACTAGCATTATCATCACTGATACAACTAGAATAATATTTTTCACCCACAAAATTTTCCCCGATACTTCTGATTTTCTGACAAGTTCGTCTTTCTCCAAAATCTGTTCAGTCTCGTTGTCCATAGTTTCCAACGGCTCATAGAAAACTTTATTATCTTTGCGGCTATCGACAATAAAATATGTCATCATTCCAATTGAAAACTGCCAAAATCGCGCAAAAACACTGTTGAAAGCAACGGATGTTGGAGAAGAAAAATGGTAGCCATATGATGAAATAGCTGAAACTTTCAACATTTTTAGACAATAACCAACTCGGCGGTCGAATTGTAACTTCTTGTCTGGTCAGAAGTTGAGAGGGTTCGGCCTTTGGACGGATGTTGAGTAGGTTCTGGTCGGAACTTGCCCAAAAATATATGTACGCGACCCATGTTCAGATTTTGGTCGGAAATTGGAAATCAAATACGACTACGTTGGAACCTTGTCCGGAGTTAATCAAAGTTTGGTCGGGTTTAGTAGCGGTCTTATTCGGAATCTGACCAAACGCCGACCAGAACATGCCCACAACGCTCCAGAAGTTGTGCACACGTACTATCGCTACAAAATATATCTCTCTAAATGGTGTTTTGAATAGGCGACCAATGAGAAAGATAAATGGAACAAGTAGGCAGAACTGAACTTCTACTGATAAAGACCAAGTATGGGTGAAGAGCTCCAATGCTATAGAGAGCTGTAAAAGATAGAAGAATACAAATGAATTTAAAAAATAAGAAGAACAATTAATTCAAAACTCACTTTTTTGAAATAGTTTTCATTTTCAGTCGGAGATCTATTTGATAAGAATATTACAGCTTTTTCAGCAGACATTTTTTTTTTGAAGAATTGCAGCGGTCGGAAAAAACTGTGTAGAGAGCAATGACGGTACATAGAATAAACAGAAAGTACAAGGGAAGTATTCGTTTTAAACGACGAATGTAGAATTGGGTGAAGAAGGAAATTATCGGTAATTCTTGAGATTTTGTGAGCAGCATACACATTAGAAAACCCGATAAAACAAAGAACCTCAAATTTAAAAATTTAAAAATAAATCAATTAATTTGAAACTCACTGATCGACTCCTAAATATCCATTTGGAAAAAAAAATGGAAACCAAGAACCGAGAGAATAGCCAAACCTCGAATACATTGCAAATCATTTCGCTTCGAGTTATTTTGTATGGAAGATGTCATATTGGTAATCAAAGTTTGGTCGGATTTAGTAGCGGTCTTATCCGGAATCTGAACAAACGCCGACCAGAACATGCCCACAACGCTCCAAATTTGTTCCAAGCGGATTCAGTTCTATAGGAACTAATGACTGTACATAAAATGAATAAAAAATACAAGGGAAGTATCCGTTTGAATCGACGAATGTAGAATTGAGTGAAAAAGAAAAATATCGTTAGTTTTTTTAGATTTTGTGAGCAGCATACACATCAAGAAACCCGATAAAACAAAGAATCTGAAATATCAGAAATTCGAAGAATTTTCGATTGAAACTCACTGATCGACTCCTAAATATCCATTTGGAAATTGTCTGGGATAAAAATGAAAACCAAGAACCGAGAGAATAGCCAAGCCTCGAATGCCTTGTAAATCATCTCGTTTCGAGTTTTTCTGATTTCTGATTATCGTCATTTTTTGCAAGCACCAGAGTTGTTCAGTGGTCGTATAGCGCAATATTTTTTACAGCATTGGAGGTACTAAAAATTGTAAAAATGAACATAAAGCTTCGAAAATGAATGAGTAGAGGTTCTGTTTGAAGTAAATGTACTAAGAAGGTCTTATCAAATACTCGGCAAGGACTGGAAGTTTATAATTTATGGCATTGTTGAGTGGTCGATAATAATACTGAATTGACTCCTGTGACTTCCCGAAAATTTGTTAACATTTCCAACAACATTTTAATTGGCGGAAGAAGCTTAAACTATATTCGAAACGAAAGTTCAGGTAGAAGAGATCCGGGTTTCGAGTTTTTTATCTTTGTTTTTCTTTATTATAGGACAGTTTTCACAAAATTGACTTCATGATTGTCAAATCAACGAGTTTTTGACTCTCAAGAAAGTTTTCATTAAAAAAGAATGAATGGAGTCATGTTTTAAACAATCGAAATCATGATACCAGCATTTCGAAAAATACTACAAAAGGTTTTATGGGCGTTATAACAATATGTTAGTGCGTTGCCATATCACTAAAACTCGATCGCTGAAAGAAGAAACTAAAAGAAATCATGATACCAGCATTTCGAAAAATACTACAAAAGGTTTTATGGGCGTTATAACGATATGTTAGTGCGTTTTAATTTTTAAGATATGTTAGTGCGCCAATTAACATGTTGTTGGAAATGTTATCAAATTTTCAGGAAGTCACAAGAGTCAATTCAGCATTATTATCGACCACTCAACAATGCCATAAATTATAAACTTCCAGTCCTTGCCGAGTATTTGATAAGACCTTCTTAGTACATTTGCTTCAAACAGAACCTCTACTCATTCATTTTCGAAGCTTTATATTCATTTTTACAGTTTTCAGTGCCTCCAATGCTGTAAAAAATATTGCGCTATACGACCACTGAACAACTCTGGTGCTTGCAAAAAATGACGATAATCAGAAATCAGAAAAACTCAAAACGAGATGATTTACAAGGCATTCGAGGCTTGGCTATTCTCTCGGTTCTTGGTTTTCATTTTTATCCCAGACAATTTCCAAATGGATATTTAGGAGTCGATCAGTAAGTCTCAATCGAAAATTCTTCGAATTTATGATATTTCAGATTCTTTGTTTTATCGGGTTTTTTGATGTGTATGCTACTCACAAAATCTAAAAAACTCCCGATATTTTCCTTTTTCACTCAATTCTACATTCGTCGATTCAAACGGATACTTCCCTTGTATTTTTTAGTCATTTTATGTACAGTCATTGCTCTCTACACAGTTTTCCCAACCGCTGCAATTCTTCAAAATCAAATGTCCGCTGGAAAAGCATTGATATTTACATCTAACAGAGCCCACACTGAAGATGAAGACTATTTCGAGAAGGTTCGGTTATGTCATACAAGAAATTAAATAATCATCTTACTTTCAGCTTGCAGTGGCCATGGATCTATTCACGCATACTTGGTCTCTATCAGTCGAGATTCAATTCTATTTCATTATTCCATTCATTTTTTTAATTGGCCTCCAACTAAAAGGAGCATCCAGATACATCTATTATGCATGCCTTTGTACGTATGATATCTTCGAAAATAGATTGAAGAGTACCAAATCTACCCTTATTTTTTACATGGATCGACAGCTCGTAAAAATTATCATGAAGAAAAATCTGAGAATTGAACTAAATAATTATTGGCTGGCACATTATGAGCCTTTAACTTTTCTAAGGTTATTCTCAGATGTGTCTTCAAGAGAATTATTTCTTGCACGCGGCGAACTGAACCGATTGCAATTTGAAAATCTTTTTTAAACACTCAACTTCTCCTTGATTTTTTTTTATTTCAGCTGGGTTATCATTCATCTTTCATGCCACTTCTCCGACTTCCGTTGCTTTTAACAGTGTTTTTGCAAGAATCTGGCAGTTTTCAGTTGGAATGATGGCATATTTTATGGCCGATAGCCAGAAAAGGAACACAATTCTCTATAAGTCATTAGGAAACATGGAGAAGGAAGCTGAAAAGGTATTGGAGGATGGCAGAGTTATGAAAAGAGAAGAAGGAGTGGGAATAATTATTTTGGTAAAGCATACTGTTCTAATTATATCAATGTTGGTTATGCTGATTCCTGTAGAGCTTACTCCACTTCCAGTTAGGTTTTTCAGAAAAAAAAACGAAAATGATAACAAACTGACATTTTCAGATTATTCATCACTATTTTCACTGGTATATTAATAGTACTAGATGTGGAAGATGCGGTTTTAACTTCTCAATTTTTGATCTATATCGGGGATATATCCTATGCACTATATCTGATTCATTGGCCAATTTATGCTTATGCCAAACTGACATATCCAGGAAACACATGGATTCTTACATCAGCGCTTATAATTTCGATTCTTTTGGCAATGTTGGTTCATCAGACCTACGAACGGTTTGTTGACAAATTAGAACTGAACTGCAAAAAACAACTGTGAAATTCAGGTGGTATTTGAGACAATCGAACAATATGATTGCCACTTTGGTCATTATTTTGTTTTCCTCAAATGCAATTTTCATTTACCGGGATCAAATTCAAGAAAATGTGGATAGAACAATGAATAATACAGTGTAAGTGTTTTGAAATACCGTATTTCCTCTAATAGAAGCCCACTCTCCGACGTGCTTAAAAACATAGAAGCGAATCTTTTAACAGACGTTCATGCAGTTCAATTAGTGCAGTTTTAACAGTGCAGTTCGTCTGTTTGGTTTCTAGAGTAGACATTCTCTTTCTATTTTAAAATTTTTTTGATAATTTCAGTTTTTGGAAATTTTCTAAAAAAAAAGTTGAAAAATAGAAGCCCACGGGCTTCAATTAGAGGAAATACGGTAAATGTATTGCTTTGAAAAAAAAACATTTTTTCAGATCTTCTGATGGAAAATATCCGAGATTTGATGGATGGACACCAAACATGACATTGGGTAGCGGATAATAAATTACCGTAATCATTAGATATAATTACAGATGACGCGCAAAAAATGAACTATCATTGGAATCGATATGATATCAACGATCCGAAGCTCAGAGAGTCTGGATGCGTACATAAATTTCCGAATAAAAACTGGTGTGAGTACCCGGGTAATGGAACTGAATACAAAATTGCTATTCTCGGAAGTAGCTACGCTCGAAATCATTATAAACTGATTATCCAAGAGTGTAGAAATCGAGCGAAGGCTTTTACAACGGCTGATGTCATGGGTAAATTTTGAGTGTGTTATTGGTACGTGATAACAGCGAATTCAGGTTGTGAACCTATTGCTGCACCTCATATTCCTGTGGATAATGGACGAGCGTTTGCAAAAACATGGTCTCCTACGTGTGCCAATCATCTGATTATGTTTGTGGACTTCATTAATACGACTCAACCAGATTACGCATTCATCATGTCAAGGTAAGGGAACGAGCCGGAACGAACTATAGCAAACTATAATATCTCGGGTTCTCCAGATTTTTCGCCGTAGCGGAACCCTATAACAATGGACCCGATAACTTGAATAATGATACGGTGTATTTGGAAATGAAAAGTCAATTGAAGAAAATGCTTCCGAATATCAAAAAAAAATTGTTCATTCTGGATTCGTTTCCGAGAATTCAAACCAAAGAAATTGCAAAGATTGCTGAAGAAATGAAAAAAGGGAACAAGAAAATGGAAGATATCAATGTGAGTGTGCTAGGATTCATTTATAGAAATTCCTGCTTTCAAGAAATCGTTGTATGACCCGTTCCATTATGAAAGGGGACGCCATCGTTATGCTGAATTGGTGAAAAATGAATGTGGACCGAAATGTGAACTGATTGACTACGTAGATGCATTCTGGAACAAAACCATGAATGCGTTTCAGTATTTTGATTCGAATGGATTCACATATTTTACAAGTATCAATCATGTATCGGCTCATGGACTGGAACACGTTCGACCGATTTATAACAAAATTTGTTCTGGGTTATAGCTGTTTTTGTTCGTATTTTTTGAATAAAGATTTTTCGTTGGGCCCATCTACCAAAAAACACAAAATATGATCCGAGATCTTCGATATATCTGTGATCTTTCCTGTTTCCACGACAAAAGAAAACGGTCGGGGACTGGACTGAATACAATGAGATAGAAATCTAACAAGGTCTAAAAAATTAGGCGAAAAACGACTGAAACTTCGAACTTTTGTTTTCGCATAGCGTTCCAGAGACCCACACACAAAATGGCACTGTTAGCTCCAGTTATCCCGGTTACCAAAAGAGCAACTAATCCATCCGATTAGCACCGACCAATCAGTTGATCCTTTCTCCATCGCTTTTTCAAAGCAACTCTTCAAACGTTTGAGGTCGTCTACAAGTGAGTTTCGAGAGTCATAAATTCTTTCCCGAATTCTAAGTTTCTAGAAATGTCTGACAAAGACACCTCCACCAAATCTCAACATCCGAGGAAAACGGTTATAATTGTCCTTACTTGGGTTTTGGCTCTCTACACTGGTCTTCTACACTGGATTGTTCAGAATCTCTACACTGGATTGTCCAGAATCATGAAAACCCCCAAAAACCTCTAGCTACGCCTTCCAGACCTGTCCTAGAGCTCGTGAAGCATAAAGGAGTATGCAAGTCTCGAGAATGTATCACTTTGGCTCATCAGTTGGTATAGAAATTGCTTTTGTTCACCTTTATCAAAAAATTTGGCATCACTGGCGGGATGTGTCCGTGGATCCGTGTCAAAATTTTTTCTAAGCAGCCTGTGGCAAATACAACGAGCATTCTCTCTACAAAAATGCCCATCTTGGTCGGAACTCAAAAATCGTTTTGATTGTGAAAATTAATATTATCCGAGTGTTTCCATTCTTCTCACCACCGATCCCGTCGAACTCATTCAGCGTTGGTCAAGATCTTCAAATCTCATAGCCCGATCTTTTCCGAATTTAAAAAGAAACACAAGGACCATGAGATGAATCTATTGGGAATATCGAAAAGAGGGATCCCTTTTGAAACTGGAGGAATGGCTGAAAAAAATAAAATAGATATGATAGACCAAGTCATCAACAAACCAAAAAATAGACCAAGTCATCAACAAACCACCTGCGATTCATAAAAGAAGATTTAAAAATGACAGCTGAAGGAATCAAACTTTTTTTTATTCGATAAATTAAGATAATTTTTGTTCATCCAGTTATGAATGATGTTATAAGAATCAAAGAGTAGACGAATGTTCAGTAAGCAGTTAAAAACTGATTAGAGAAACGGAAACCAAAAGTCGTTCAAAACACTTATGGCATTGACCCATTTTTAGATGAAAATTCTAACACAATTCAAGTAAAAAACTTCGTAGAATGTCTCATGAGATCCAAAAGATATTGTACGGCTAAAAAAATATTTTTTAGGTGATGTACTAAAACCAGAAGAAGTAAGGGTATGAAACTTTGGCTACAAGTGAAATGACACTCACATATTTTTTGATATCGCTTACCGAATTTTCAGAGTAAAATAGAGAGGGTTCTAAAGAGATCAAGCGTATTAATTATGCATCGTATATCAAGGGTTTGAACACATTGAACCGATTTCTAAAGAATTTAGTCTGCGAGGTTGTAGTTATGTCTGTCACCTAAAATGAAGATTTGCATTGGTATCGCTATCAGCGTACATTACCTATCAAAACACATAAAATGCAAACCGAGATCTTCGGTATAGGGTGAGATCTCACGAGGCTGATCTTCCCTGTTTCGACGACAAAAGAAAACGTTCGGGGGCTGGAGACAAGGAGACAAATCTTTAATGTAATGCAAGACTGTGAAGTCTAGTGAGAATTAGAAAACACTGAAAAAACGACTTGAATTCAAGAAAGTTTGAACTCTGATTTTCAGATTTTAGATTTTCTTTACCGGAGACTAATACGTTTGGTTTTAATGCCATATTTATATTATTATTATAAAATACTTTTTTGTGTGATTGCATTATGGAATCTTTTTTTTGCATTAATATGTACTGAATGAAACACTAAAAATATTGGCGCTGTCTCAAAGGAAATGTCCTTGTGAATAAGGCTTCCATTCGGTCGGGAAATTTAGCCGACCGACCAACCACCGACCCCGCCGACCGACAGCCGACCGAACTGACCGATCGGTCGGCGCGCCGACCGTTTTCGTGCATTTGCGCGTCAACGTGTTTGCATACGCTGCAATGTATTTTACGACAAACTACTCACTAAAAGCCTCGTTTGTCGTAAAATTAAGTGCTTCGTACGTAAAAACTCGTGTTTTTATGCGCAAAAGCACGAAATCGGTCAGCTCGGTCCGCTGTCGGTCGGCTGGGTCGGTGGTCGGTCGGCGGACGGCGATTTTCGACCTTTTCGATTTTCGACCGACCGAAATGGAAGCCTTACTTGTGAAAATTTGTCCTCCTAATACCAGCATAGCGTTTAGATAATATTACATTCTTCTGAGATTTGCAGAGACTATGACCACCTCTTTCTACTCTGAACGGATTACTCTTCGATTTCGGCGGTTACGGTCAAGTTTGAGCTATGATGAATCTTGACTCTATGGCCCTGAGATCATCCATTAGATTCTTTCCTTCTTTTATTCCATCAGCAATATTTTCAATTTCCCCCCACCAAATTCTTGGAAACGAATCCAGAATGAACAACTTCTTTTTGATATTAGGAAGCATTTTCTTCAATTGGCTCTTCATTTCCAAGTACACTGCATCATTATTTAAGTGATCTGGTCCATTGTCATATGGTTCTGCTACGGCGAAAAATCTGAAAAAATTCAAGATTAAATTTTCTAATTTTCTAATCTTATAAAATTTCCAATTAAAATTACCTCGACATGATAAATGCGTAATCCGGTTGAGTTGTATTCAGGAAGTCCACAAACATATTCAGATGTTTGACACAATCGGGTGCCCAGAGTTGTGCAGAAACGACATTTTCCACTGGTCTATGAGGAGCAGCAAGCGGCTCACAACCTAAACTCGCTGTATATAAATATCCATAAACATTTTCAAGTTTACCCATGACATCAGCCGTTGCGAAAGTAGTAGCGCGATGTCTACACTCTTGA